CCCACAGGCCTGGCCCCCCTTCCTGAGCTGTGTGTGCACAGGCCGGGGGTCACAGGTGGGCGATTATACACCATCCTGCAGGCTGTCTGCTTATGGGTCGCCTTCTCCCACCCCGGCCGGCCATAGTCCACCTGCCCCCGCAGCTGGGGTGATCTTTCAAACCCTCCTCAGCTACGTCTGTCTTCTGCGCGTGACACTCAGTGGAACAGGGGCCGGAGTTCTCACACCTGCGGGGCAGTCCCATTTCCGCCACCTCTCATTCGCTTCCCTCCGGCCATGCTGGCCTCCTGGGTGGGTGTTCCTTGATTCATCCCCACCTCTGGGTCTTTGCCCTGGCTGTTCCACCTGCCTAGAGAGCTCTTCCCAGAGGGGCACGCAGCTGACTCCCTTACCTCCTGTGAGTCTGTGCCCTGTATCGTCTTGTGAGCGAGGCCTTTCGGGCCCCCAGGTTATACCTGTCCTACCCCTGGCCCAGCCTGGCGCCCCCCCGTCCCTTTCCGCTCCTCCACTTGCTGTTTTCGTAACACCATCCAACAAATGAGGAGATGTACTTATTTATTTAGTATGTGTGTGGTTTTGTCTCTCCCTACCCATATCTAGAATGTCCACCTCCTGGGAGCAGGGGACTTGGTCCATTTATTCATTTGTTTGTTTTAACCGATGCACCCCTAGAACTTAGAACAGCTCCTGGCACGTAGTAGGTCGAATGGATCTAAATATTGGTCGAATGGATCCATCCACCCATCCGTCACTCCTTCGTGGCCATCCTCGGGGGCCACTCTGCCAGGCCCCGGGCTAGATCGGAGGATGCGGAACACCCCTTCTGGGCCTCCTGCTTAGGATGCGGTCAGTTTGGGCAGAGCCATGAACTGACGAGGGCCGACAGCGTAATAAGTGCTGCGATGGAGGGAGGGCAGGGCAGTGGGCAGCTCACTGCAGGGCTACCAGCCCAGCCCAGGGGCCAGAAAAGAGGACCAGTCAGCTGAGGTCTAAGAAAGGAGGGGAGATGGCCTTGTGAGTGTGTGTGAGGGCTTTCCGGGGGGCTGGAAGGGGGTCAGCCTGGCTAGGTCACACCGGCATGGGGTGCTGCTGTCCTGGGGAGTGGACCTAGCATTGCACACCCCCCCCCCCACAGGGTAATAGTAATAGGAATCCTGGAGGTGGTGATGGGGGAGGGTGCTGTCGGTGGGGGCAGTGTGTGTGTGAGGGTGAAGAGTAGGGATGCTGGGGGCGTCTGCCAGTCCGGCTGGAGCCGCAGGGTTAGATGTGGGGTGGTGGGCAGAGGGAGGTGCGGCTGGGGAGACAGGCTGGGGCCTGTGCGTAGGGGCTTGGGGATGGGCTAAGAATTTGTACCTTCCCCACGGGGGTGGAAGGACTGCTGGCAGCTTCTGGCTCTGGGGGCTCCTCCTCTGAGGTCCCGTCCCAGCCTCGAGATGCTGACCGGATGGGAACCACTGTCTTCTGTAGATGAGGCCACTGGGGCCCCGCGGGGGCAAGGCCGACCTCAGGGCTGCCCCACCAGGAGTGGCACCCAGGCGTACCTTCCTGGGCTGGTGCTCTGGGCACTCACCAAAGCACTGGATGTCCTGAGGACTCTGGGGTCCTCTTTCCCCTCTCGCCTGGGGAAGCAGGGCCTTCAGCCACACTCATGGGGTTGCCAGGGAGTCTGGTCCTGGCCTCTACCCCAGGCTGAAGGCCCGAGACATCACACTAAGAAAGCAAAAGCAGAAAAGTTCATCTTGAGCGATGGTGAGTGAACACCTGGGGGAACTGGAGGCAGGAAGGCTTCACTGGTGTGGGGTGGAAATCGGAGACCGCCTGGAGGAGGAGGGCTGGGCTGGGGATAGGTGTGCTTCGACTTCAGTAGGAAGGATGGTCTGAGGCAGACATCTCTGTCTTTGCCTTTCTTGGTCTTTCTCTCCATCTCTGTCCTCTGTCTCCGTTCTTTCTCTTGTTCTTTCTCTGCCTCCACCTCCTGAGCCCAGTGCCGGGGGAACTGAGGGCAGAGAGGAACCATCCGACGACATGCCTTAGCTAATTACTTGACTGCAGGCATAAAAGGAGGGTTAGCTGGGGTCTCGCGGGGTCCTCCCTGACTCCCTAATCCTGTGGCCCCTTTTCCCTGGCACGGAAAGATGGATTCGTTCTGAGTCCCTAATTAGCTAATTATGCCTTGGCTCAGTGGCCCCGGGACTCCCTGGGCCCAAGGGAGGGCTGTGGAGTGAGCCGGGGCCTGGCTTGGCAGAGGGAGGAGGGGAAGGGGGACTGACGGGCTGCCATTCAGGGAAGCCAGCCAGGCAGGTTTTGAGGAGCCTTTCAGAATTTCAATATCCTGGAGAACAAGGGAAATGTAATTAATCGAGCAACAAAGGCTGGGGGATGGGGGGGGGGGGCAGCCATGGAGCAGTCAGGCTGGGGTGGCTCAGAGCCACCTGCTCCCTCAAGGCCTTTCTGACCCAACCCCTTCTCACATGGCTGGTTGTGTCCTGCCGCTGTCCCATCCTCTGGGACTGCCCTGTCCAAGGGCTCGGCCTGCTTAGAATCTGCTCATGGCCTTCCCTGACCAGTCCCCTAGCCCAGGGCCCCTCGCCCCTTAGATCCCGCTTTGCGGCCACTCCCAAGCATGGCCTCGATGCGCTCTCTGAACGGTCATACCTTTGTGCGTTTGCCACAAGCTCCTGTCATCCTGCAGGGCCCAGCTCAAGTCAGTCCCTCCAGGAAGGTGCCCGGATTTGGATGGATCGAAAGGGTGCTTGGTCTATTTCCTTGTTTCCCTTCCCAACACTCCCTGGGCTATCCCTGTTGAGGGTGAGGGTGGGGGTGGGGTATTTAGCCCTCAGTCACCCTGGCCTGCTCTCAACTGGAGGCAGCAGCCTGCCAGGGAGACCCACTGCCTTCTCCGGGAGGAGGCTGACCTAGTTTTGTGGGGAGGGAGGACGGGGCAGGCATTAATTATTGATTGGAAATCACTCCACACAGAGCTCGTGATGCAAATCTGAAATAACTACCCTCGTTAACAACCACCTTAGCATCACCCCTGGAATAAATAAAAATCTGAATAGGGCCACTGTTCTCCTTGTCACCATCTTTTCATCCTCCCTTCTCCAATCTTCCATTCTTTCCTCATGACTCATCACGTATTCAACAAATGTTGGCTGAGGCTTTGTTCTGGGCTAGGAACTGCTGGGTTCTGAGAATGCTGACTGGACACAGGTCCTGCTCCCAGGAGCTTACAGCCCAGTGGAAGAGGAAGGGGTAAACAAATAATAATACACTAGCGCTAGAAGGCTACGTAGTGAATGGGGCCTCCAAGATTGTGTGGTATGCAACTTGCACAACTGTGCAAGTCACCCTAGGTCAGAGGTGCTGAGATTGCCCAGAGCAGAAGAGAGAGGGATGGACTCTACCTGGGATGGGATAGGGGAAGTCTTTACAGAGGGAAAATAGAGCTTCAGCTGGGCTGTGGAGGTTGAATAGGGATTCACCAGGCATAAGAGAGATGGAAGACTGTTCCAGAAAGCATGAGTAAAAGCATGGAGGTGTGAAATCCCATAATATGTTTAGGGAACTTCAAATAATTTGGTACTGCTAACCATAGGATGCAAATTGGTGAGAGGGTGTGTGTGTGTGTGTGTGTGTGTGTGTGTGTGTGTGTGTGTGTGAGAGAGAGAGAGAGAGAGAGAGAGAGAGAGAGAGAGATCTGAAGCTAGAGAGGTAGGTAGAGTCAGATCTCACAGGAGCTTGGAAGGTATGTACGCAAGAGTGACCCATCACTCCTGACCCTCTTTGGGACCACAGACACTGGTGTGGATCTTCTCCCAAGAAAAATTCATGGTATTGTACCTGCACATTTTACAGCAATTTCATAAGGTTCACCTCCTGCAGTCCTTCCAGGCTGTTGTCAAGAATTGTCCCTGTTGTGTCCTGGGCTCTGTTTTTCCTGGGCTGGCTTCAATTGTAGGCGGGTGCTGCCCTGCTGAGGCAAGATGGGCCCAGCAGCTCCGGCCTTAAGTCTGCCCAGCTGGCAACCTCTGCACAAAGAGAGCATTTTCCCCTGTAGTTCCAGCTGAAGTCTCAGGGTTGACCCTCATTGGTCCTGGCTGGGGTCACATGCCTATTCTGGACCAATCACTGGGGCTAGAGGAACGGGATGTGCTGATTGGTCAGGCCCATGTCATGTGATCTCCACGGCAGCCCAGGCAAACCATGGGGACTAGAGTGGGGGAGTGGGGATGTTTTCTTAGGGCTGGGAAAGGTGGCTGGGCCAAACCAGGGAGGTGACCCATCTGCCTGGGGTTTGTGCTCCTGTGGATTCTGCGTTGACTGGGGTGTCCAGAGCTCCATTCGTGGAGTCAAGGGGGCAGACGGAGGGGTGGGGGGTGCCAGGGGTTGGGACTGAGCCTGTGGAAAGGGAGAGGGCATGTGGATGGGTCAGCCCAGGGCAGGAGGGGCCGAAGGGAAGGATAGGGAAGTAGATGTGAAGGGTGGTAAGAGTGGGATGGGGCTGGAAGTGGAGTGCGTTCCCCCATTTGCTCTGTGGGGTGGGAGCGTCAGGAGAGTTGGGTGCGGCTCTTGAGCTGGGGAACCTTTGCAGGGTGGCTGCTGTCTTCTTGGGCCCCTTTGCTGAGGACCTTCTCTTCTAAGAGGGGAAGGGACCGGCTCAAGGTCTCTGAAGGACATCGCATTTTTGCATTACCCAGAAGAGAGTTTGGCACATAAACAGTGTCCCGTAAACACCTGCTTTTTCATCCGGAATCTGGTGAAAGAGTGGTGGGGCCCAGAGCCATTTCTGCGGCCTCTGGGCAGAGGGGCAGACATCAAGGAGAAGGTCTGCTTAATGGCCCCTGAGCAGGCTGGGAGCCCCAAGGAGCCCCTGCCCGCGTGTCCCCACCTCTCCTCTCCATGCTCTTGTCTCTGTTTCTCTAACCCTGCTTTCTCTCTGTCCTCCTGGGACTTCTGCTCCCAAGGCTGACAGTCTCTCTACCCTCCCCCACTCACAGGTATGCGGATCCTGGTGAACCTGCTCCTGGACACGCTGCCCATGCTGGGGAATGTCCTCCTGCTCTGCTTCTTCGTCTTCTTCATCTTCGGCATCATCGGCGTGCAGCTCTGGGCGGGCCTGCTGCGTAACCGCTGCTTCCTGGAGGAGAACTTCACCATGTGAGTGCCGCCCCCACCACCCGGGTGGCTGCCAGCCAGCCAGCTTTGCCTGGGGCGGCAGGGGTGCTGGATGTTTTAGGACGGGGAGGGTCTCCCCATGGAGCACCTGGTCCCAACCCTTACTCCCAGGAGTGGAGAGAAGCCAAGGAGTGTGCTCAGATGCGCTGGTGGTGGGTCTCCCGTGAGTGGCTGGACACTAAAAGGAGCACAAAAGGCCACTGAGCTCTCAAAATGGGTATCACAGAGTCCCGGGCTCAAATAGGCCCTCAGGTGCGAATTCGGCTCCTAGTGACTCTTACTTCATACACAGTTTTGACTTACTCGGTAACTGGGAATGGGGCCAGCAGAGTGGAAGCGGCAAACTGTGGGCCGGGAGGGAAGAGGACAGCTGAGACCCAAGCAGACGTGATGCCAACACGGAATAAGAAGGCAGAAACCCTCAAAGGCAGACACCGAACCTGGCCCAATTCCAGCACAGACATCCCTCTTGGTGACTCCCAGTCATCCAGGAAAGGTCAACTCACAGTCGGCCCATTTGCCTTGATAAGCGGGTGGGTGGGCTCCCCACCCCAGAGAGGTGATTGTCGAAAGCCGCTCAACAGAAGTCCAGCTCTGGCTCTTGGAGGAGTCGGGTTGAGTTGCCTGGGAGAGTTGACATCTGTGGAATTTCCGCGGTGAGGGAGGAGCGGCGTGTTTGGGCGTGCGTGCCCGCATGGATGCGTCTGGACGGGAGGATGCTGACACGTTGCTGCGCCTCGGCGGGCTCCTGCCCTGTGCCAGGCCCCGGGGGGACCGAACCAGCCTCTCGCTCGAGAGCAGCACTCAAGTGTCAGCTCTTGCCAAGCCCGTGCTTAGTGCTCAGGACACAACAGAAGGCAGAGTTCCTGCCCTTGGGGAACTGGTCACAGGTGCCTCCACCGAGGGGCTCGCGTGGACGGAGGACGACTGCGGGAGGCTTGGGACGCCCTCCAGGGTGGGCTCAGCTTTCTCTCACATGTCCTGTCAGTTGTAGAGAGGAAGCTAACCCCGAGAGCCGGGGTGAGGATGGGGGAGGCGACCGGTTCACCCTCCCATTGCCCCCCATTGCCGCGGGGACCAGAGAAGGGGCACCCTTGTGGGAAGGATCCCGTGGGCACGTGGGGGCCTACTCTTGTGTCAGTCACTTGGAAGAGGTGGGCCCCACAGCAGCAGGAAGCGGGGGGCACCCACTTCTCCCGGGCTGGTCTTCAAAGATGGAGGTGTGTGGGTATGAGCTCTCAGCTTTGGGGGTTCAGGACGGTTCCAGACCCCTCTGTCCCACACGGGTCTTTCCTTAGGTCATTCCGTGGCCTCCTCCTCATTGTCCCGCCTCAGCCCCAAGGTCACCACCTGCTGGAGGCCTTCCCTCACCACCCCCTTACTCCCCGACACTCTGTTGCATTAGCCTGCTTGATTTCCTCCTGAAATTACACTGGTGAGTTCACTTACTTGGTTGTTGGGTGTCTCTAGACTGGTGTATTTACCTGGTTAACAATGATGAGGTGCTCCAGCGCAACAGGTGTGACTGAGGTAATGCTTAAATCTGACCCCTTGTGGAGACTGGGAGGCAGAGGCCAAGAGAGGGGTATCTTGCTCCAGGGCAAGGTTGGCAACATCAGAGCCGGTGTGAGAACCCAGGTTCCCCTGCCTGCAGCGCCTGCCTCCGGTGAGGGTGCTCAGAGCACCCCTTCAGTCTCATGAGCCCTTGGGGAGACCCCAGACGGTCTGTTTGAGGGTTCTGGGGCACAGAGTCAGGACAGTACTGCCCAGCTAGGAAGTGGCGGGGCCCGGAATCTGAACCCAGGACTGATGTCCTCTGCAAGGCGTCTGGTCCCTTCTCCCGGATTCCGTCTGAAGGCCGTTCACGTCCCAGACAGACTTTAAATATGCGAATTGCTTTGACATTGTGTCTTGAGGGTGTTTTACACCAGGGTTTCTTATTCCACGGATAAAAGGCAGTTCATCTAGCCAGCCCCTGTTGATGGACGTTGCGTGGTTTCCAAGTTTTTGTTCTTCCATACGGGGCTGCAGGACGCATCCTGTACACGTGTGATCCTTATATACACGTGGGATCAATGGCTAGACTCATCATCGCCGGTCAAAGTGTATGTGTATATATACACACACACACATATATTTTAAGGTTTATTTATTTATTTTGAGAGAGAGGTTGCGTGTGTACAAGTGCCCGCATGAGTGGGGGAAGGACAGAGAGAGAGAGAGGGAGGGTGAGAGGATCCCAAGCAGGCTCCGTGTTGCCAGCCCAGAGCCCAGCTTGAGGCTTGATCCCATGAACCATGAGATCACGACCCAAGCCTAAACCAAGAGTCGGATGCTTAACTGAGAGCCTCCCAGGCACCCCAAAGTGTATGTATATTTTTATGCTTCTTTCTTAAAGGTATAAATCGCGTTTAGCGGTGGACACAACTAAAGTGTAGAGCTGAATGATGTTTTACGTGGGTCCACGCCAGTGTGAAGCTACCCAGAGAAACTTAGGGGGCCTAGGGAGGCTCCCTCCTGCCCCTTGCCGGTTCCTGTCCCCCTCACCCCAAAGCGGCCACTGTTCTGACCTCTATCGCCGTAGATTTGTTTTGCCTGTTCTTGAGGTTTCTTTAAATGCAGGATGCTACCTTTTGTGTCTGCTTCTTTGGCTCAGTGTAATGTGTCTTTGCGATTCACCCACGTTCTTGTGGGTTTTATTTCTTTTTCATTGCTGTGGGTATATATTGAGCAAATATACGACTACTTATTTTTTTTTTTTTTTGTTTTTTCATTCTACTGTTGACTTGGGTTGTTCCTGTTTTTTTTTTTTTTTTTTTTTTTTCTTTTTTGGCTCTTATGACTCATGCTTATTCTCGTACATATCTTTGGTGGATATAGCCATCCTTTCTTTTGGGTAAATACCCAGGAGTGGAATTGTTAAGGATGCACGTACGTTTAGCTTTAGTAGATTTTGTCAAATGGCTTTCCAAGATGGTTGCGTTCAATGTCGGCTAGCAAAGTCTGAGAGCTCCGGTGGCCCGGCATCCTCAGTGACATTTGGTAACGTCAGTCCTTTTCACTGTCACTCTTCCAGGGAGAGTGCAGTGGTACCTTATTGTGGTTTTAATTTGTTTTGCCCTGATGACTAGTGACGGTTGGCACTTTTCACATGTATCCTCTTACGAAGTGTCTGTTACAGTCTTTTGCTGTTTTTAGATTGGGTGGTCTTTCTTTTTATTATAAATTTGCAGTGGTTCTTTGTATTCTCGATTTGAGTCCTTTGGTGGATAGATATGTTGAGTCCTTTGGTGGATAGATAGATATGTCTCTTAATGGTGCTGTTGGACGATGAAGCCCTTAGTTGTAATGAAGTCCAGATTACCAGTCGTTTTTTCAGTATTGCTTTTTGTGTCCAGTTTAATCTTTTCTTAACCCAAGGTGATGAAAATATCCTCCAGTGTTTTCTTTTAGAAGCTTTCCTGTTTTATCTTTCACATTTGGGTCTGTATTCCGTCTCTTAGTGTGGTATGTACAGATTCCCTTTTTGTACAGATATTCAGTTGTCCCAGCAGCATTGGTTGAGAAGTCCACCCTTTTTCCACTGAATTGCAGGGGTGCCTTTATTACTGCCAGGTGGCCATTTGTATTTGGGTCGGATGTGTACGTGTTCATTGTTGGCGGATGCCGCTAAATTGCCCCCCAAAAAGTTTATATCAATTTACACTCCCACCAACAGTGTATGCGCATGTGTGTTTGTGCTCACTCTTTTCCGCACTCAGTACCATCGGCCTGAAATATTTGCCATTTGGATGGGTGTAAAATGATCTCGGTGTTAGTTTTGTTTGCATTTTCCTGTTATCAGTCAAGTGAGCGTCTCTTCCTGTATATTGGTACATTGGCTTCCCCCCACCCCCCGCCAAGCATCTTGGCCATTTTTATTTCTTCTGTGAAATTTTTCTCTTTTCTTCTCTTTTCTTTTCTCTTTTCTTTTCTTTTCTTTTGTCCTTTTACCCCCTAGTGGGGGCACAGGTGGTTTTGAGTGACAGGTGGTTTTAACATAGTCTAGATGTCTTCTATTTGTTTTATATATTGCCAATACTTATCCCAGGGCAGTGGCAATCTCTAGCTTGTTTTTGTAAATAAAGTTTTATTGGAACACGGCCATACCCACTTGTTTACCTATTTCCTATGACTGTTTCGCATTTCAAGAGTGCAGTTGAGTAATTGGCACAGAGACCATATGGCCCTATCTGGCCCTTTACAGAAAAAGTTTGCCTACCTCTACTTTTTATTTATTTATTTATTTATTTATTTATTTATTTATTTAGCTTGTCTTTTTACTTAGTATGCTCTCTTTTGTCTCATAGAAGTTTTACATTTTTATATAGTCAATCTTGAACTTTGCCTTTGTAGAATTTGTATTTGTAGATTTTATCCAGGAAAGCCTTACACGTATATCTTTTTTTTTCCTCAATTATTTCTTTTAAGTTTATTTATTTCATTTGAGAGAGAGAGGAAGAGAAAGAGAGGAGGCAGAGAGAGAGGGAAAGAGAATGAATCCCAAGCAGACTCTGTACGGGCAATGTAGAGCCCGATGCGGGACTCAAACTCATGAAATGTGACATCGTGACCTGAGCCCGAAACCAAGAGTCAGACACTTAACTGACTGAGGCACCCAGGTATCCCGGGCCTTATATATATTGAGTTAACAGAAATATTTCCCATTCTCTTGTAATATTTTTGTGATTATGTTTGTTGCATTTATGATTTTTAATCCACCAGAAGTTTATTATTTTAAATTTTGTAATATATTTTGCTTAACCTAATATATCCAAAAGATTACTATTTTCAATATGCAATCAATATAAATAATTAATAATGAGATTATTTACATTCTTTTTTTTTTCTTTTGATACCAAGTCTTCAAGAAGTTTATTTTTGTATATGGTGTGAGGTAGGGATCTATTCTTTTTCCAGATAACAGTTGTCTCAGAAGCATTTATTGTTTAATTCTTCTTCTCCCCATGGATCTGAAAAGGTGTTTCTGTAATAGACTAAGTTCTGTTTTATGTATGGGTTTGTCCCTGTGCTCTGTGGTGTTCCATGAATCTTTCTGTTCCTCTTGCAATACTATACACTCTAGTAATAATTGTAGTTGTATTTTGCTCTCTTGTAAGACTGGACTCCACTCCTCTTTCTCCTTTTAAAAAACCTGTCTTGCCTATTCTTCCATCCAGATAAATCCTAGAACCATCTGTCCAGGTTCCACAGACACAAACAAGTTGGGATTTTGATTGGGTTGCAATGACTCATTGTTTAACCTCACAGGACGGGTAGGGCAGAGATTGTCATCTCTGTCTTACAGATGAGGAAACTGAGGTCTGGAGAGAGGAAGTTAACAGCCCAAGGTTACATAGATGGGAAGGGGTGGGGCAGGCAGAGGATCAGATCCTCATCTGTTGGATCAGTAGAATTCAACGTTTGTTGATTAAACGTGTACTCTGTGCTGACCAAACAGTGTATGGGGACTGGGGAGCCTGAGACCCTGTCCTTGTCCTAAAAGAGCTTCAGGCTCCAAGAGAAGTTGGGTACATATGCCCTAGGAGCAATGCGGGTGTGTGCAGGGCACAGTCTGGCCACAGCGGGTCAGGGACTAGCCCTGCTCCATCCTGGGGAGGCCCCCTTAGGGAAGGGACCCTAGAACTGACTGCAGTGGGTCAGTGGGAGATTTTTTCACCATGGGGAAGGGCGTCCCAGGTGGGGGAACAACATAGGCCAAGGTCTAGAGGCAGTGACAGGACCTGTTGGGACAGTTCTGTCACACTACGTGGCCTTTCCCCTTCCTGCTCCTCCTGGTGGTGACCCCTCCCCGTCTCTTCTTGGGCCCCCCCCCCCCCCGCCATCACCTGTGCACAGACAAGGGGATGTGGCCCTGCCCCCCTACTACCAGCCAGAGGAGGACGACGAGATGCCCTTCATCTGCTCCCTTTCGGGGGACAATGGCATCATGGGCTGCCACGAGATCCCCCCACTCAAGGAGCAGGGCCGTGAGTGCTGCCTGTCCAAGGACGATGTCTACGACTTCGGGGCGGGGCGCCAGGACCTCAATGCCAGCGGGCTCTGCGTCAACTGGAACCGCTACTATAACGTGTGCCGCACGGGCAGCGCCAACCCCCACAAGGGTGCCATCAATTTCGACAACATCGGCTACGCCTGGATCGTCATCTTCCAGGTGAGGCCGCTCAGGCCTGGCACCGGCGCACAGGCTGGGGCCCGGGAGACTGGAGTGGGGTGGGGTGAGGGGCGGGGGGAACAGCTTCTTCTGGCAGGGAGGGCTCCGTGCTAGGTGTTGGCTGCCTGTTTCACTGAAATCTGCCCGACTTGCTGGCACGATGGGCGTTATCGTGCCCCTATTGTAGACAGAGCAACTGAGGTTCGAGAGAAAGGAAGCAAGCTATTTGATGGATCACATGCTGGTTAGTGGAGAGTCAGGATTTTAACCCCGGGCCGGGTGCCCCCAAAGCCTGTGCTCTTTGTGGAAGCCCAGGTTGCCTGGGGACCGATGGATCCCGGCGGTGAGGTACAGACCTAGAGGGGAGAGACCAGACTCGCGCCTGTTAGAGGGGCTGACCAGGCAAGGCCTGCACACAGGACGCGGGGGAAAAGACATTCCTGGTGGAGGTGACCCCCTGAGCCAAGGCCTGAGTGCAGGGAAGGTTCAAGGTGAGCACCAAGGAGCTGTCTGTCTGTCTGGGTAGAATCTCTCGGACCTTTTTCGTTGATCAGTCAGTAAGAAATACATTTTACTCGGTGCACACATATACCCACACTCACAGTGTTAACTTTACTGTGTGCCTTGCACGGCCCCACTGCGCTGCAGACGACCGGGGTGGGGCGTGTTGAGGAAACGAGGGCTCCAAGACTGGGTACCGCTTCCCGCCTCTGTGCCTCAGTTTTTCACCTTTAACGTGGGGGTAATAACAGCCCCCTCTCACCCTGAGTGTCTGAGAAGAAGAAGCTAGATGATGGGAGCCGAACAGTCAGCAAAGTGTGGAGTGAGTGCTTGGTAACGGTCACCTTCCCGCTGCCCTCGGAAGGAAGAACAGGGCTGGAGCAGGGGGTGGTGGCTGAGAAGCCCCGAGAAGAGGGAGGGCCTTATCAAAGCGGCTGCTCTGTGTGCTTTGCTCTGGGGAGCATCGAGATCACAGAATTCAGAGCTGCAAGGCGTGATGTGATGTGATCACAGCCCAGCAGCTGTGTTTTGAGACCCTCAGCCCCCAGGGGTGTGAATGGGTTGCCTGGGAGAGGGCAGTTGCTAGGGAGCGCCCAGCGTTTGCTTTGCCCGAGGCTGCTCTGCCTCCCTCTCTGGGAAGGAGAACGGGGGTAACAGTCACACCAGCCCCATCATAGCCACACTCCTGGGCTCAGCTGAGCTGTACCCTAGGCCCAGCTGGTGAGCTGGAGTTGGAGTCCAGGGCCCCCTGCTTCCAGCCCTCCTGCCTCGGTGAGGGAGACTGGAGAGGGGCAGGCTCTGGAGCAAGAGGGACCAGGCTCAAGTCTGGCTCCCCGCCTTCCTGGCTGTGTGACAGAGGGCAAATACTGGAGCCTCTCTGAACCTCAGTTTTCTCACCCGTGTATGGGCGACGAGGATGGCCGTCCCATGGAGCCTTGTGGAGAGTTCGAGAGAGAATGTGTGCCCAGCAGTCTGGCACACAGTGGGGCCTCTGTCTGGGGCGCTGCGTTGGTCGCCTGTCTTTCCTGAGGGTGCCGCCTTTCCTGTCTCGGGCTCACCGGTCCTCTGCTCTGTTCTGGCTGCAGGTGATTACCCTGGAAGGCTGGGTGGAGATCATGTACTATGTGATGGATGCTCACTCCTTCTACAACTTCATCTACTTTATCCTGCTTATCATAGTACGTGTCAGGGTAGCTGGGGCTCTCTGGGGAAGCTCACGGACCCAGGGACCAGGGATGGGACTGGGGGGTTCCCAGGGAGCCCCTCAGAGCCAAGAGAGCTGAGTGGGAGGGAGCAGGAGGGGCAGGGTTTCTTTCTTTTTTTTTTTTTTTAATTTTAAGTCATCCGTACACCCAACACGGGGCTCGAACTCACAGTCCTGAGACCAAGAGTCGGGTGCTTCACTGACTGAACCAGCCAAGCCATTTTTAAATGCCTCCGAGCAGCGGGTGACTGAAGGGACTCATCAGCGCGGCTGCGGGAAGCACCCATCACTCTCGATTGCCTTCATTTCTCATTTCTGGGCGTTTAAGACCATCTAGTCGCTCCTGCTCGTGTTTCTCTGCCTCGTAGTCTCTGCGAATACATTCTTCTCACGACCGTAGCTAGGTGCAGCCCCAGGATGGGAGCTTGTCTAGGGCTCCAGCTTGTTCCTCTTTTCCCGTGGTGGGAAGGGGAGATGCTCTGAAACAGAAGCCCGGGGCTGCTTCCCCACAGGGCTCCCTGAAATTCTCGGATGCAGGGGGCGGGGGTGGCTTAGGGGGTGGAGGCAGGGCTCTGTCTGCCTCACGGAGCGGGGTCCTTCCGGGAAGCCCCTCCTGCCTCCCTCCACAGTCTGCCCAGAGCGAGCTTATCCACCTTGTCATGCCTGACCGCGGCTTCAGCCACAGCACGATCCCCAAAATGTCAAGGTGATTCTCTCCTGGGCGAGTCAGTGCTGGCTCACTCCCTACTGCTGTGAGGCTGGATTCTCTGGTGTCCCGATGGTGGGAGAGGGCATGCTGGGCTCTCTGGGGCAGCACCTTTTCCTGAGCTGGTGGGACCTTGACCTGAGGGTTCAGGACATGCTGGCAAGTGACCCGAGACGTACCTGCTGTTGGTTTTGCTCTGATGCCTTCCTGGGGGATGCAGGGGCCTTGGACCTGTAAAGAGACCCCCAGATAAAAAGAAGGGGGTTGAGACTTTGTTCAGCATTGCCCTTCATCCATTGGTTTGTTCATTCCCCAGCACCATCAGGGAGACCTGCCCTGCTCCAGGCCCTGAGCCGAACACTGGGCACTGAGCAGTGAGGTGGGCCCAGCCTTGTCCTCGAGGAGCTCACAGTCTTGGGCGGGGGGCGGGAAGATGGGCTACGCTTGACATTGACCAGATAGCATATTAGGAGCCACGGCAGAAGGAATCCTGAGAGGTTGAGGGAGCCCAAAGGAGTTTTCTAATCTAGCTTGGAGGAGGAAGAGGGGAGTGAGAGGCTTCCTGGAGGAGGTGATTACCAGAACTGAGCCTTAAAGGCTGAGGGCAGGCAGCCAGGGGGAGAGCCTCTTGGGCAGGGGGCAACTTGCAGAGACCTTGACATGGACAGAGTCCTGACTGGAGGCACTTCGAACCACTGGGGTTGCTGGAGGAGCCTCAAATTCCAGAGAAGCACTGGAGAATGTGGTCTGCCCCTCCTGATAGAGTGAGGGGTGGGGATGTCAAGTTGATAACTCCCAGCGTGACACCAGCCACGTCTGTTAGCTCCCCCGAGTCCCGTGGGGGATGGTGACGGCACCTAGGCTTATGGGTTCTCAGGAGGATTAGATGAGACAGAGTCTGAGGCCTGCATGACCCCTGGCACACAGTAAGCCTCAATAAATGTGCCCTGCCACTTTTACTGCTGGTATTTTTGGGCCCCAGGTGGCTCTGTCACAAGAGAAAGGGTACTGGCAGGGGGCTGGGGATGTTGAACTTTTCTGGGTGCTGGGAAGGGTCCGGAGAGCAAAGCCTGAACCACCGGGCTTCCATTTTGCCTTCACAATCCTGGCCATGCAGGGGCACCTACCCATTCTGTTCCTCAGGTGAGGATCCTGAGCCCCAGAGAGGTGAGAGGTCCTCAGCCCTCAGACTCTGGTGCCCAGCGCTCCCTCTGGTTGGAAACGTGTTAAGCTTGTCTTGCCTGAGCCTTGGGTTTTACAGACGGGGAAACGGAGGTCCAGAAGGAAGGGGGGAGCTGCCTGGGTCACAGGGGCAGTGGCTGTAGAGGCAGGCTGTCTAGAAGCCTGATAGGTGTGAGCTCCCAGAGAGAAGGGTCTGCACCCTCTCCTTCTTGGTGACCCGTCACAGGGGCCCGATGCACAGCAGATCTCCAGGAGACGCTGGTGGAAGATAGAACCGAGAGGGCCAATGAGGGGCATCTTTGTACCTGGGGATTTTCTCAGGGTCCTCCAGCCAGGAAGCCCTCCCCTCAGCCCTCGATAACCCTAGAAGCCCAGCTCCCTCTTTGTGACGTGGGGACAGGAGGGGAGGGTGAATCAGTGGCTGGGACTGTGGCCTGCGTGAACTGCCTGGCAGGTAGCCCGGAGGAGGATGAAAAGCTGATAGGTGGACCCTCCTTGCTGGCCACTGATCTCTTTCAAGGGCTTAGCGAATGCCAGAGGAGGGGTCTGCCCTCTGGTAACTAGGGCCTACCTGTGCCCTCTGCGGCCTGTGGAGGCCACTGGAACCGGACCCTGCATCATGAGGCGGTGGGATTCTTAGTACTGACTGGGTAGTCTCCCCCCCCACCTCCATCCAAGCACAGATAAAGCCACACAAGTAAACCCTGTCTGAAGGAAGCTTCTCTTTTGTCTGGATGCCCAACTGAGGCCAGAGTGAAGGCCAGAGAGAGGGTAGGGCTGGGGTGGGACTCGGGGCCTGGATAGCCTGAGAGGGTGTGGGCCTCCCTCCCTGGCCTCAGCACTGACGTCCCTGGCCGGGGTCCGAGGGCCTGGGGGATCGGGCTTCAAAGCGGGTCCCAGTGGGGCCTGGGGAGCTGCCTGGGCCACCGCTGTCCTGGGGCCCTGGCCTCCTGTAGGAGCAAGGCCTCAGCAGTCTTTTCCTGTCCCTATCTGTGCCCGTGCCTCTCCGTCTCTCTGGGCCCTCCACCCTCTGCCCCTCTCTCTCCCCGCCTCCTCGCACCCATCACCCTGTGTCTCCCACGCCCTCCGCTTCTGCACTCTCTGAGCCTCCGTCCCTCCCTCTCGGTGTTTCTCCGCATCGTCTCTCTGTCCTTCCTGCCGGCTCTGGCTGTCTGTCTCCTGGCTCTGTCCTGTCCCTGCTCCGTGCCTCGGATTTGTCCCTGCCCCTCTTCCTCCTGTCCTCCTTTCTGCCTCGGTACCCCTCTGCTTCTCACCCCACCTCTGTCACCGCGTCACCACCTCTGCCTCCCCATTTTCTCTTTCTGTCTATCCCTTCTTTCCCCTCTCCCCCACATCTGCCTCCCCCCACCAATCTGTCCCCTCTGTTCCTGTCCCTGTCCCTGTCCTCTCCTCCCGTTGGTCACAGGTGGGCTCCTTCTTCATGATCAACCTGTGCCTCGTTGTCATAGCGACCCAGTTCTCGGAGACCAAGCAGCGGGAGCACCGGCTGATGCTGGAGCAGCGGCAGCGCTACCTGTCCTCCAGCACGGTGGCCAGCTATGCGGAGCCCGGCGACTGTTACGAGGAGATCTTCCAGTACGTCTGTCACATCTTGCGCAAGGCCAGGAGGCGTGCCCTGGGCCTCTACCAGGCCCTGCAGAGCCGGCGCCGGGCCCCGGGCCCGGGGGCGTCCCCCTCCGCCAAGCCCGGGCCCCGCGCCAAGGAGCCCAGGCATTACAGTAAGTGGTCCCGCCTTCCGCCGCCTCCGGGGTGCCCCGTTCAGGCCTCGTGTGCCTCCAGCGGGGGATTCTGGGGACCCCGCGACGGCACCGCTGGCGAACGCGCCCCCCTGTCTCCTCGGCACAGGCAGAGCCGTCCGGCAGGTTGAGAACCCGGGTCTTCCCTCGGGAGCTCCAGTCCGTGCCCCTTGCTCCCTCCCTGCTTTCCTGACCCCCTGCCGGTGCCCCGTCTGGGCTGGCCTCGGGCTGGGGGCACCCAGCACCCCGAGCCCTGGAGGATCCCCTTCCGACCCCAGTGCGGTCACACGTGGACCCAGGCTCCGCCCGGGATTCACATTTGAAAGAAACGGACGGTTGTCTATCCTGTCTGGTAAAACGCTAACGCTCCACTCCTCTCAGCCTGCCTCACGCCCCACGTGGCTTCCTGCTGCCACCACGTGCTAGCACGCCAGAGCAGTGACGACCAGCCACCTGGGATAAGGGGGCTGTGGCCACCGTGCTGAGGCATGGTGTGTCGGGGACCAGAGATCTTCTGTCTCTGGGCCGTTAGGCTCAGAAGGGGCTCTCCATTCACTCTCTTGTCTGTTCTAGAAAACAGTCCTGAGAAGAGGGCAGAGTGAGTTATATTATCCCGTTTTCAGATGGGGAAACCAAGGTTCAGATAGGTGAAGGGAGTCACCTGGGGTCACGTAGCGTGTCCGTGACAAAATCCGCATCAGGGACATCAGAGCTGGGTTTGCTGGGCCCGTGTCCAGAGGGAAATGAACGCTCCCGCTCAGCTCCCCACAGAAGGCAAATGCGCCCCAGGAGAGGAGTCCCGCCCCCCAGCTGGTGTCAAGACGGAAGTCAGCAGGGTCCCAGCCCCGGAGCAGGTGCACGGCATGTGACCTGGACAGCCTGGGCCCCTCTGTGGGCCTCAGTCTCCTGCTCCGTCAGGTCGAGGATGAGGCTCACGCGCAGGGGGAGTCAGCCACCCCCGGGCCCTGCCCCTGCAGCTCTCAAGCCCTGAGATTCTTGGGAGGCAAGCCGGAGAGAGAACTGATGCTTGAAGCTGCCGCCCACCCCTCCTCGGGCGCCAGCCGTCCAGGCGTGGTCTTGCGGGAGGCTCCAGGTGGCCCGTGGGCTGGCCCAGCACGTGGACGGGGCAGCTGGGGTCTGCCTGCAGGGTCCCTGGATGACGCGGGCTTCTTGCTGCTGCCCCCACCCTCTCCGGGGAAGCTGTGTGGAAAGGAGTCCAGGGGGCTCTCTGGAGGGGGACCTTGCCCCCTGCCCCTGGGCCTCAGTACCCTCCCGCTTCCCTGGGAAACAAGTTTCAGGGGGCCCAGCCCCAGGCACGAGTGGGGCTGAGGTGGGCCTTACTGAAGTGGGATTGACCCCGGGCTTCTGCCTGCCCACGCCGGCTCCCAGGGGATGAATGAATCAGAAGCCTCGTCCGGGGCTTCAGGAGATATTGGGAGGCAAATCTGGAAAGGGAGGGTAGGCATTACATGTTTTTCATTCCCTTTAATTATTATTATTCTTAAATGTTTATTTAGTTATTTTGAGAGAGAGAAAGAGAACACGCATGTGGGAGGGACAGGGTAGGGTGGGTAGAGAGAGAGAGAATCCTAAGCAGGCTCTGCACTGTGCCCCCATGGGGCTTGATCCCATGAACCCTGAGACCATAACCTGGGCAGACACCAGGACTCAGATGCCAGACGCCTGAGCCACCCAGGCACCCTCCCTTTAATATTACTAATAGCTTTTCTTTGCTTGCACCAGGAAAACGTGTATTTTAGGACAGTACAGGTAAACATAAAGGAGAGACCAAACCACCCAGGAAGAACCTCTCTGACACCTCCTTGAAATGGTTAAATATGGCAGAACTGTGGTCTAAGTCTGGTTCAGGCTTCTTAAACTCTCCCTGGGGCAGCACAGGGGGTGAACACTTCTGCCCCCCAACTCCCTGCTGTGCCTCCCGTCAGCCCCTCCTGCCTGCTTCCCCTGGAGCCATCCCGACTCTCAGGGGGCTTCTGGAGCAAGGGTTTGCCTCCTGCCCAGGGCTCCTGCCTCCCTCCCTCCCCGGGACACAAGCCCCACATACAGGTGGGAGGAGAATTGAAGATGGAGGGGTCACCTTGGCTCTCTCGAAGGGGCGTCCGTCCGCCACATCAAGCTGACTCTTTTAGAAGCTCTTTTAGAAACTCTTTCTCAGCCATTTCCCCAAGTCCAATGTGAGCAAGCAGGACCGTGGGAGGGCTGGGCCTCGGGCCAGGAGATGATGTAGCCAGGACAGGCGACAAACACACGTGCCCCAGGCACTGTTCTAGGCACGCCAACACATCCACAGTAGAACCCTCCCCACGGCCCTCGCTTGTCACAGGGGCCAGCCAAGCCCAGGGAGGTAAAGCCAATCCCCCAGGAGCTACAAGCCACTCGACCTCCTCACCCAGACGGAACCTGAGCCACAGGAACTTGAAGCACACATGTGTCCCAGGGTTAGCTTGACCCCTGGGGTGGGCAGGTCCTGCCCCCTCGGAGCCCCTCAAGCCTGTGTAAGCTGAGGCGCCGACCCTGCCTTGTGTTTGCTTCGCAGAGCTGTGCCCTCGACACAGTCCCCTGGACCCGATGCCCCACACACCGGTGCAGCCCATCTCTGCCATGCTGGCCTCCGATCCTGCCAGCTGTCCCCGCTGCCAGCACGAGGGGAGCCGGCGGCCCTCGGGCCCGGGCAGCACCGACTCGGGCCAGGAGGGCTCGGGCTCTGGTGGCTCAGGTGGTGACTCGGAGGAGGTGGATGGGGACGGGGCCCGGAGCAGCGAGGATGGGACCTCCTCAGGCCTGGAGAAGGAGGACGAGGAGGAACAGGCGGACGGGGCGGCCCGGCTGTGCGGGGATGTGTGGCGGGAGACCCGAGCCAAGCTTCGAGGCATCGTGGACAGCAAGTACTTCAACCGGGGCATCATGATGGCCATCTTGGTTAACACCGTCAGCATGGGCATCGAACACCATGAGCAGGCCAGTGGGGGCGGGCGCTGGGCGCGGGGGCGGGCATGGGCGCGGGGGGAGGGCTGGACGCCTAGGCCCAAGCCGGCCGCACGCAGCCTGAGCTGTTGGACATCCCCAGGGTGTCTGTCTCCCACCTGACCAGGGCCGGGTCCGATTCTGCCCTATGGCCTCAGTGCCCAGCCCCGGGCCCGGCCCAGAGGAGAGGGAAGCTCCAGGTGTGTGCCTAGTGGGTGAGTGAGCGAGGGAGGCGGAGCTGGTACTGGGGCCAGCTGGGTTGAGATCCAGCTCCCGTCTCCTGAGTGGCGCGGCCTGGACACCAGGCACCCACAGCCCTTCCCCTGTCCGTCCTGCCAAACCTGACTTCCGGTCATCGCCTTTCCCACGAGCCTTCCTGTCCATTCTCCCCCAAACAGCTGGCGTGATCTTTCCCGAGGCCGGGCTTTCCCCTCTCCCCAACCTGCCGCAGCTCCCCATTGCCCTCGGCACAAAACACAGACCTTTCCTCTGACAGCCAAGGTCCCTCTGTGGCAGTGCCTTCAGCAGGTTGGGCGTCCTCCTGTCCCTGATGTCCCCACATAGTCCACCCTCCACGCGGCCCGGCGGCACTGAGGGTGGCCCCAGGGTTGCCCTGCAAAGACTGTCCCCCGTCTCCCTCCTAGGCCAACCCTGTGGTTTCTTCTGTCCTCAGCACTGGGTGCGTGGAGTGCAGAGTGGGTGTCGGCTGAGTTCATGGTGTGTCCCAGGCCCCCTGGGCCATCGGGGTTCAGAGACATGGCCCCAAGGGAGATGGCAGGAGCACAGGGAGGATGTGTAAGAGATAAGAGGCTACTCGTAGGGACACAGGAAGGAAGGCTGTGGGGGGTTAGCACACATGTGCCCAGCAAATAGGTCATACCGTGGGTGACGGCCTGTGTGACAAGTCCATTCCTGGCTCCATTCAAAAAACACCATTTTCTGACTCACCTAGCCCCTGGGTGGGTTTCCTCTGTTGACCTGGCCCCTACCCCGTGAGGGCACCCCGCTTGGCAGCTAGTGACCCTGAGGCCTAGGGAGGGGATGTCACTGATCCAAGGTCCCACAGACAATCGGGTCAGATTTGAACCCACATATATATGTATATTTTTAACATTTATTTATTTTTGAGAGACAGAGAGAGGCAGAGCATGAGCAGGGGAGGGGGAGAGAGAGAGAGAGACAGAATCTGAAGCAGGCTCCAGGCTCTGAGCTGTTTGTTAGCACAGAGGCTGGCTCGGGGCTTACGAACCGCGAGACCATGATCTGAGCTGAAGTCGGACGCTCAACCGACTGAGCCACCCAGGTGCCCCACCCACATCTTTCTTTAACATTTATTTATTTTTGAGTGGGTGAGAGAGAGTGCGCAAGCTTGAGCAGGGGAGGGACAGAGAGAGAGGGAGACACAGAATCCGAGGCAGGCTTCAGGCTCCGAGCTGTCAGCACAGAGCCTGACACGGGGCTCGAACCCATAGAGCCATGAGATCACGACCTGAAGCGAAGTCGGACGCTCAACCGATTGAGCCACCCAGGCGCCCCTGAACCCACATCTTTCTGTGGCGAGACTGACACCCCCACGGGGTTCAGAATGTGGCACCCCCCTTTGCTTTCCTGCCGCCCGCTTTCTGCGGAGGCCCTCCACCCACCCACTGCACCCCGCGATGGGCCACACTTTCATTTCCCTCTTCATTAGCTCTCCAAGCGCTGGCTTCATTCAATTTCCTTAAATGCGGCCCCTGGGGCCGCAGCGACACTCTGTTTGGAGCTGCTGGTTTGCCAGCCATTCCAGCTTAATTAAAAAGGTCTCTGGGGAAGACTGGGGGGAAGGCTGTCTGCAGGGTAAAGCTGGTGAGAGAGGCAGCCCAGACCTCCTGGCCTAGGGCTCAGGCTCCTGGCCTTTCCTGGCCTAGGCTTGCCGGTGGGGTGGGGGCAGAAGCCTGGCTGGGCCAGCGGTCCCAGAGGGGGTCTCGTGGGGAAACAGTGATGTTGGGGTCCTGGCTCTAATTTCTGAGCGGCTTGTCACGGTGCTGCCTGGGCACGGTTCCCGCCAGGGGCTTGTGGGAAGCGGCTTGAGAGAGCCAATTTTCTGTCACTCGGGAGCTTCGAAAGCCTGATTTTAAACAGTTGGTAGCTTGGAATTGGCCATGGTGGGAGTCTTTACACCACAGAAATTGGCATATGCTACAGATCAGGGCCACTTTTCAGAGGCCTGTTTGCCAGGGTTCTGTGGGCCGCGGCCCCTCTGCCTCCCCACCAGCCCGATCTCAGGGCCTCCCTGCCTGGCCTGTACCCTGCTCACCCCCTGCTGCCCCTGCCTGGGCTCCTTCCCTGGTTCTGCCGCTGACCAGCAGGCGGCCTCGGGCAAGTCACTTGGCCTCCTTCAGCCAGCAGCTCCGTCTGTAACCGGCCCCGGGACCCTCTGCACAGAGGGGCTGGGAGGGTTGAATGCGTTAAGCAGCCCAGCACGTAGTAGGTGCTCACTAATTTGCAATTATTTATGAGTCTTCTGTTTGAACCTCACATCACCACCCTTGGGGTGAATTTACCTCCTGCTGTCTGGAGCCTCAAAAAATTAATGAATTTTTAAAAAAAGTGCGGGGGAGGGAGAATTTTTTAAAATGTTCTTTTTAAAGCAGCCCGGAGTGGCAGCCATTGTTCTGCTGAGCGCAGCGTGGGGCCTGCTCGGGGCCTGCTGGTATTTTTGCCCCGCTCCTCTCTGCTCCCAGACGTGGCTTGGCGGGAAACGATCCGCCCCCGTGTTTATTTTGAGCAGCCCCGTCTGAGGTGGTGCCTGCAGAGAGAGGTGGCCCAGGGCCACTGGGAGGCCGGGAGAGTGGGGAGGAGGAGAAGGAGAAGATGGGTGAACGCGCACAGCCCCTTTCCTGCAGGGGTGGAGACCGTGGAGGGGAGGCATCGCAGGGGCCTGGCAGGGAGACTGGCGCGGCCATGGGGACAACAGGTAGTGACCGTGGGGCACAGCCTGGGCATTGCTCTCTCACTCCATCCGCCACCCCTGCCTCTGTGGTCTCAGGTGCCCAAATGAGAGGTGAGACTGCAGGTGTCTCCGGCCAAAGTGGCCATTGCTACCCAGATCACAAGGGGTTCCCACGTCTCTAGGTTCCTCATGGTCAAAGATGCTGTTCCTTGCAGGGACTGGCCTGGGAGGCGGTGACAGGTAAAAGGGGGGGGGTCATCCAGGCAGGGGCCTGCTTGTGACCCATGAGGTGGTCGGACGGGGCTGAAATCTGCTCTTTGGCTGAGGCTACATGACAAGCAGGCGGATGGGGTCAGATTCCTCCATCATTACTCACTGTCGTGTGTTGCCATATTTCTTCCCCTTGTGATCCTCATGGCTGCCCGATGGGGCAGGCAAGGCGAGTGTCTCATATCCATTGAGCAGATGGGGAAGCTGAGGCATGCCCAGGTGATATGGTGAGCAACTGAGAGAGCAGGGCTCCAGGATGCCAAGGTGGAGGCGGAGGTTCCACAAAGCAGACAGGAGGCAGGGGGGGAGGTCTGGGTGGGGAAGCCTTGCTCCCGGGGGCAGTCCCTATGGCCCCCTTCTTCCTCCCCCGGCACTCCCCTCTCCAGGCGCATGACTCCTCCCAAGGCGGGCAAGGCTGCCCTCAGTCCCATCCCATCCTGGACCTGAAGGAGGTCACCGAGTTGGACAACAAGAAACAGAGGGCTTGGCTGGATGGGCAGCAGGGATGGGGTGCAGGAAGCCCCCCGGGGCCGGCTAGGGCATGTCCACTGGCCCCTACTCACAGGAGAGTGCATTCAAGGCCTCCAGACCAGTGGATGGGTCAAAGCAGTCTTTATTTTCCCTTCTGCAGCCCCCACATCACTGCTGACCCAGGTCTGGGAGGACTCTGGGAAGAGGAGGACAGGCTGGCTTAATGCCCAGCATTCCAGCTCTGTGGGCGCTTAGGGGAGAGAGCCAACATGGGCTGCAGTCAGGGAAGCCTTCCCAAAGGCAGTGGCACGGGCAATGGCTCCTGAAGGTTGACTACGAGTTCATCAGTGAGACAGAGGAGGGACAGGTACAGGGACCAGGAGCTCAGGCATTCCCCTAAAGGACCCTGAGCCCTCAAGGAGGATGTGCACAAAGGGCAGGAGAGAGCCTGGGAGGCTGGGGAGGGGGCTATCCATCCACAAAGTGCCTCAAGGCAGTGGAGAGCCACGGAAGGCTTCTAAACAGGGTAGCGACATGTCTGTACTGAACTGGATCGTCAGGTCAGAAGAGTGGGGCAGGTGATGCCGTCACAGCCATGGGGATGGGGACAGGCCAGAGGGAGAATACCTGTGATTCAGGTTGAGATGTGATTCCGCCACTGCCTGGCCCTGGCCCTGGGCAGTCACTTCCCTCTGAGCCTGTTTCCCCTTCTAGAAAATGGGGATACTATAGGGTAACGTTTGAGATTTAGAGGAGATAATTCATGGAAGGTGCTTAGCACCGACTGGCACGTGGGAGACGCTTAACACCGGCTGCCATTATCATCATGGGATGGTACCGGGCTCCAGGGGTTCCTGCGGACAGCTTAGGGACTCCTGCCCACCAGGGCCCTTACGCACCCCTGCGGAAATGGCCAGCCTTGTGCCTCCAAGCCTGGCATGGGGCCAGAAGGAGTGGGCCCCTGCCCCTCTCCCTCCACTTTGGGCCTCCAGGATGTAGTCCCTCCTTACCTGCCCTCGCTCCTCCTGCCTCAGCTCAGCGTGGTGTTCTGCCCTTTTTCACCCCGTTCCACTGGGGTCTTGGCCACCTCCAGATGCCTCTCTGCAGCCTCTGCCTGCTGTCTCCCACTTTCCTGGCTCCTGCACCGACGCCCGCAATGTCATGATCCTGGTCCCTTATTCTGTTTTTATCTGTGTTTTTCTTTCTGCCTCATGTCTCCACACCCCACCTTTGCCTCTCAGTCGCCGTATCTATATTTGTCTGTCCGTCTGTCTCTCCATCTCCGTCGTGGCTCCCCCCCAACCCCGTCCCTCTTCACATACCCTCCCACCTCGGTCTCACGATACAGAATAGCCTGCGTTCATCTGTCTGTCTCCCGCTCGCTGTCTCTCTCCCAGAAAAATGCCTGCGGGAGTGACGGATGGTCCATTAGAGAAAGATTAACAGGTGTGCACTTGACTAGAGAAACAGCTGCTGCAAGTGGGGGGGGAGGGGCGGGCACGCGGGTGACCTTTCCGGAGAGCGGTGGCCTCCCCGGCACTCGTGGGCGGGAGTGTGTGTGTGCAGCGCGTGTGGCCCCGAGCTGAGTGGCCGCCATTACGGACTGTCAGCGGCCACACTTCTCATCCCCGCTGATCTCGTGGTGGCAGGGTGGGCAATTGGTGGCTTGGCTCGGCCGGGGATGCCGGCCCCAGCCTCTCCCCCCCAACTGGGGGACACCCCCCCCCCCCAGTCTCAGGGTCCCACTTCCCTTTTGGGACCATTTTGTGAGTCAAATGTAATTACAGATGGAAACGGGGCCTTCTTTTATCTGGGCTTGAGAGGACTTGGCAGTTTTATTAGGTTTCCCGGGCACGAGGCGGAAGGGCGGTTCTTTTTTTCTCTTCTCCTTTTAACCCAAATGGAATCACAGTCGGGCCCCGAAGGTGCCCTGTCACCTGGTGGAGGGGCTGGGCTGGGGCTGGGGGTGCTGATGGTTGGCAGCTCTCCCCGTCCCCCCCCAATCTTGCTCTGGCCGGTCCCTCTGCCCAGATACCTTCTCTTCTCCTCCCTCTCACTGGGTTCCCCCTCTCAGCTTTGAGGGCTCTGCTGAGATGTCACTTCTTCCAGGAAGGTGCCCCTGCAGGCACCTGACTGCAGGATTACTGTTCCCTCAAAGCTCCCTCACCTCTCTCTGTTTTTAGCACCTACGGCTGTTTGTCAGCTGGGGGGGTTGGGCTTTGCCACCGGAACCTGCGCTTCTTGGGGGCGGGGAGGATGCCCTGATGCATTCACCACTGGCCATCCTGGGTAGCACGCGCCCAGCCCACCGTGCTCAGCTCACCTGTAGAATGCGTGCAACAATGAACGAGCGGAGGAGAGGACGGATGAGTTCAGGTGGAGTTTCTGTTGTGTGTGATGGAGAGCAGTTTGGAGTCTGATTTTGTGGCTCTGCTGCCTCCTGGCCGGGTGGCTCAGGGCGAGTCAGTTCACCTCCCCGAGCCTCAGTGTCCTTATCTGAAAAACGGAGGCACCAGCAGATTGTTGGAGGCGTCCGTAATTGTGCCGGATGTCGAGCTCAGTGCGCATGCTCAGGCCTAAAAAAATGGCCCTTCCCCTCTCTGTGATTCAGGCTTGTTGGTGAACAGAAACCCGGCACTTTCACAGTCCTAGAGAGAGAAGGGAGGCGCTAGAGCCCCGTATGGCCCTTAGCGGGGAGCCCTGGAATGAATATCATCTTACTCCACCCCCTCGTTTTATGGATGAGAAAACTGAGGTTGGGGGGGGAATGTCCCTAGAACCCTGTCTCCTAGTCATGGCCCGTAGTGTGGTCTGTTTGGGATTCCAGGGTTGCTCAGATGGTTCCGCTTATACGGGTGTCTCTTGCTGCTAAAAACCAGGAGGGAAACAGCTCCAGGGTCAGAAGGTGCTAGTCTCTTTCTGATCAGCCGGTGACTTTAACCCTTGTCCTCTCTGGGCTCTAGTGTCTTCCCCTGAGAAGTGTGTGAAGCCAGCCCCCTGGACCAGGGTGCTCGCAGACATTAAAGAGTTGGGTGGCACACAGTAGGCGCATGGTCTCTGTCTTCCCTTCTCAGGGCACAGTGGTCTCCAGCCACCCACAATCCTGACGTGGCCATTGCTGGGGAAGGGGAGAGTGAGGAGGGCTCCGTCGGGGGGTCTGCACAGGCAGAGGTTAATGGTGGGAGCCTTGGAGGCAGGCTGCCTGAGTTCAGATACCGGCTCTGCCTCTTACCAGCCCCACAGCCGAAGGCAGGGGCTGGCCTTCTCCGAACCTGCTTCTTCATCTGCAAAATGGATTCTTATGGGATTAAGTGACATGACGCCTGTAAAGTTCAAAAAAACAGGTCCTGTGTGTGGTAAGTGCTTCCTAAGTGGGATAGGGTCATGGGCAAACAGGGGTCATGGGCAAACAGGGAGTTTCTGGCGTCGACTGGCCTGTCTTCTTGTCTTGCTCTGCATCAGCTTCCAAGACTCCTTCCTCCCTCCCTCCCTCCTTCCTTCCATGTTTATTTACTTGAGAGAGAGAGAGAGAGAGAGAGAGAGAGAGAGAGAGCAGGGGAGGGACAGAGAGAGAGGGAGACACAGAATCTGAAGCAGTCTCCAGGCTCTAAGCTGTCAGCACAGAGCCCGATGCGGGGCTTGAACTCATGAACCACGAGATCATGACCTGAGCTGAAGTCAGACACTCAACCCACTGAGCCACCCAGGCGCCCCTTCCAAGCCTGCTTTCTGATAGGTCCCCTCAGTGTGCAGTACCAGCATCGTTTCCAAATGTGTGGAAGGCCAGCCCCGTGGGGTCCCCCCATGTCAGTGGACTCTTAATGACAACAGAGGTACAGCAGAGTTGTGAGGCTCTCAAGGCCGTTGCGGTCCAGCGAAGAAATTGACCTGCCAGCTCACTCAGCCTCCCCGCCTCCCTGGGGCTCCTGCAGCCAATGAGCGTCCACAGAGGATCCATGGCTGTGCTCTGGCCTGACCGGGGTCCCCGTTCCCTGTCCCTGCGCCCCCACAGCCTGAGGAGCTGACCAACATCCTAGAGATCTGTAACGTCGTCTTCACCAGCATGTTCGCCCTGGAGATGCTCCTGAAGCTGGCCGCCTTTGGGCTCTTCGACTACCTGCGCAACCCCTACAACATCTTTGACAGCATCATCGTCATCATCAGGTGCTGCCCCTGCTGCCAGCGGGCTGGGGGCCCGGAAGCAGAGTGGGGAGGGGGGTGGGGAAATCTAGTGCCCTGTCCCCCGCCGGTAAACAAAGCATGTCCGGGCACAAAGGAAATCAATTGCGCAGAAACCCAGTTCTCGAATATTTACAAATTTGTCCTCCAGTAACATACGTGCTTCTAGATTAATGCATTAAGTAGCAAGATCCAGCAGCAGGTCTTGGGACTACCGTCATCCCAAAGAAAGGATGGGTATAAATAGTGTTTGGGAATATGTCCATCAGCTGTTGTAAGATATAAAAACAGCGGTTTTGATCGGTCAAAAAGCCATAAAGATTGCTCATTCTCTGTGGCTTGTTTTCATTCATGATCTAAAGAATGGTAAATCTCGTGGAGAGGTCAGTGGCCTTTGTAGACCTACTGAATCCTAGCCAGAGACTGCTCACGGGGGGTGTCCGTGGACTCCAGGTCAAGAGCCCCTGGTTTGAGCATGCCCTGGAGCAGCGACGGCCCGTGAAACATGTTATTTGTGGGATGAATGAATGAGTGGATGTTCTCCATCTCTCTGCCCCCCCACTGGCCTCCCCTTGCCCTCCTCTCCCTCTGCTCTGCCCTCCGCTGAATGCTCCTGCCTCTGTCCCCTGCTGCCTCCTCCCAGCATCTGGGAGATTGTGGGGCAGGCGGACGGCGGCCTGTCGGTGCTGCGGACCTTCCGGCTGCTGCGGGTGCTCAAGCTGGTGCGTTTCATGCCCGCTTTGCGGCGCCAGCTGGTGGTGCTCATGAAGACCATGGACAACGTGGCCACCTTCTGCATGCTGCTCATGCTCTTCATCTTCATCTTCAGGTGAGCCCTGCCCACCCTGGGGAGGGCCGGAGCCTGGGGCGGGATTGGGGGGGTGGGGACATGGCTACTTGAGCTTCTCCAGGCGCCACCCTGGACCTGGCTGCGAGTCCTGATGCATCACCGAATCCCCTATGGCTCTGAGCGAGGACTTGCCCTCTGAGCCTCAGCGTTGGCTTCTGTAGAACGGAACCAGCGCTGCCCCTGCCATCTTACCCGGCCGTTCTGAGAACGACACAGGTGGGTGGGTCCCTTGAGCCACCCCCATTCCTCCCCCAGCATCCTCGGGATGCACATCTTTGGCTGCAAATTCAGCCTCCGCACGGACACAGGAGACACGGTCCCCGACAGGAAGAACTTTGACTCCCTGCTGTGGGCCATCGTCACAGTGTTCCAGGTGAGCAGCAGCACGTGTTCACGTATGTCAGGGGAAGGGGTTTCTCCCAGGATCGCCGCTTGGCTTGCTTTTCAGAGGTGCCGCTCGGAGAATCCAGAGAAGGGGGGTAGCTCGCCAGGGAGGCCCCTCAACTCCGGGCTCTGGCAGGCAGGTGTGGGTGCGGGGTCAGGCTGGCACTGCATTGGCTCTGGGAGCTGACTGGCCACCTGGTGCCCATCTCTGCCCCTCCACCCCCGCCCCAAGACCTGGGTGCATTGGGATTCTTCCGTGAGGCTATTTTCTCGCCATGGTTAAATGAGTGTGCACGGGTCTGGGGGGCAGAAGGAAGAAGGGTGGGCTCGTGGAGGGGCCGGGGTGGGGCGCGAGCAGATAGCAGACAGAACAGAGAGGATAGGGCTGTGGGAGCAGCCAGGAAGGAGCACCCATCAGCAGGGAGTGAGAATCAGGGCAGGAGGTGGGTTGTGGGCCAGCGGGGTGGGGGGCGGGGAGGCAGTGGGCAGCGCAGTGTGTGAGTGAGGGGCACGGGCTGTGCCAGGTGGGCACACTGCCAGCTGGGGCTGTGTCACGTGAGGTCCCTGGGTGTGCTGGGGCATGTGTGAGAGGGTGCTGTAAGTGCTCACGGGCTGTAGGGTGCCTTCAGGCTCCTCCACCCGGTGGATGCCTTCTGCCCTTGGGCTGGGCCGGGGCCTGGGGGTACCCCAGGGCTGACCTGTGCTCCCCCTCCCCCCACAGATCCTCACCCAGGAGGACTGGAACGTTGTCCTCTACAATGGCATGGCCTCCACCTCCCCCTGGGCCTCCCTCTACTTTGTCGCCCTCATGACCTTTGGCAACTATGTGCTCTTCAACCTTCTGGTGGCCATCTTGGTGGAGGGTTTCCAGGCAGAGGTGAGTGCGGCCCTGGTGGAGGAAGCACCCGCATGGGGCCTGGACCAGGCTGGGTGGGGGAGGGGTCTGGATGGGGGAGGGCTGCAAGTCAGACATCTAGCAGGGAACACTTTCCGAAGGAGGGGGTTGTCAATTAGGTGGTGAGCTTCTGGTCACAGGAAGCATGCAAGTGGAGGCTGCAACGGGATCCTTGTCTCTCCCTCGGAGGTGTAGGACAAGGTCTCTCCATCTCTGAAATTCTAAAGCCCCCGAGATCTGGATCCTGCCTCCTCCTTTCTCTGAGGTTTAGGGGTTACTTGCAGTCAGGCGGGTGTGGGCTTATGGGCTCGGTCCTTGTTAGCTTCTCACTTTCCTTTTCTGAGGCTCTGTTTCCCTGTCTGTAAAATGGGCATGAAAGACCCATTGAAAAATTCAGGAGGGAGGGAAGGGCTGAGCCAATGTGCATTCCAACAAGAGGGATGGTCTCCCAGGGTGACGCCAATCGCTCCTACTCGGACGAGGACCAGAGCTCATCCAACATGGAGGAGTTCGACAAGCTTCAGGAGGGCCTGGATAGCGGCGGAGGTAAACAGGTCTCCACTGTCACCTGGGGGACCAGGACCCTTCCCCAGAGAGATCCAGGGGGGCTCAGGGCTCAGCATCAGCTTTCCCCTTAAGCCCAGGCTCCAGGACCACTCATTCTCTGTGGTTTGTTTACATTCATAATGGAAGGAAACAGGCAAATCCCCCCAAAAGAAGTCAGTGACATTCATAACCCTCCTGAGTTCTAGCCACAGAGGTAGGTGCACTTCACCCTCACCCCTCCATGGTGTGGCCTGTTGGGAAGAGACAGCCTCAGGCCCCAGGACTCCTGGCTTCTGGTCCTGTTTGGTCCCATGGGGCAGCTTGGAACAAGCCTCCCCAACCCATGGCCAGTGTCCTCCTTGAAAACCGGGCTGTACCATTTTTGCCTTGCTTCCTAAAGTGGGCCCAGGAGTGAGGTTTCTATGATGGGTGAACACAGCCTGGCCCTGAATACAGGAGGCAGGGGATCCACTCACCCAAAAAGAAAGCTGACACGATGAACGCTGAGTAATGTGTAGACATGTTGAATCACTGGGGCACCTGGGTGGCTCAGTCAGTTAAGCATTTGACTTCAGCTCAGGTCATGATCTCACAGTTCGTGAGTTCGAGCGCCGCATCGGTTTCTGTGCTGACCGCTCAGAGCCTGGATGGAGCCTACTTCGGATTCTGTGTTTCCCTTTCTCTCTGCCCCTCCCCCGCTTGTGCTCTGTCTCTAAAAAAATGAATAAACGTTAAAAAAGTGAAAAAAAAAAAAGAAATGTTGAGTCACTACCTTGTACATCTGGAACTAATATAACACTGTATGTCAACTGTGCCGAATTAAAATCAAAAACTTAATAAAAAAAAGAAAGCGGAGAGCTGTGCAGGAAGGGTCCAACGGGGAAGGTGGGGGAAGTCTCCCCAGAAAAACTCTCTATTTCTGTTCCCATCCATGTCTGTCTCATGAATTCTTTCGTTCTTATTCTATTTGCCCCTCTTTCCGTCTCCATCTCACCCTCCAGATCCTAAGATCTGCCCAATCCCCATGACCCCCAATGGGCACCTGGACCCCAGTCTCCCACTGGGTGGACATCTGGGCCCCCCCGGGGCTGCGGCACCTGCCCCCCGCCTCTCGCTGCAGCCGGACCCCGTCCTGGTGGCCCTGGGCTCCCGCAAGAGCAGCGTCATGTCACTGGGGAGGATGAGCTGTGACCAACGCTCCCTGGTGAGTCCCTGAGGGGTGCTCTGGGTGGGTGCTTCCTGCTGGGGTGTATGGGGAGGGACCCTGGGGAGAAGTGCCTGTCAGTCTAGCCTCAGGCTGGTGCCCAGGTGTCGGGGACCAGACTCTCCAGCTAGAACCAGGCAGGGACCATGTGTGTTGCATTCTTGAGTGCCTAGTGCCAGAGTAGGGCCTGGCAACAAAGAATGAATGAATGAATGAATGAATGAATGAATGAATAGTGCCAGTGCGTCCGGTGTGGAGAACTGGGTTTTTATCGTGGCCACACTGCAGACGGCAAAGAGCTGGGCTTTGGGGTCAGACATACAAGAGTTCAAATCTAGCCTCTGCCACTTTCAAGCTGTGCGGCCATGAGCAAGGCCTCTCTGAACCTGTTTCCTTACCTGTAAAGTGGGAAGACTACCCTAACGTGCTCTGGCTTCCTCAAGGGAAGTGAGGTGGCAGGAGGAGATGTAACCACACCCTAGAGGCGCCCACACATCCATGGATGCAGATGGAGTGACAGCCGGGGCAGGGAGAGGGCCCCTGGGGTCTAGCCTGTTCTGTCACCCACCAGCCAGGCCTCAGCGGGTGTGCAGGCTGCCTCCAGTCACAACAGTGGGTCGCGTGTGTGTGGCGGGTGCGCTGACCCGAGCCCGGCTTCCTTCCAGTCCAGCTCCCGGAGCTCCTACTACGGGCCGTGGGGCCGCAGCGGGGCCTGGGCCAGCCGCCGCTCCAGCTGGAACAGCCTCAAGCACAAGCCGCAGTCGGCCGAGCACGAGTCCCTGCTCTCGGCGGAGCGCGGTGTAGGTCCCCGGGCCTGCGAGGGCCCCAGGGACGAGGGCCCGCCGCGGGCTGCGCCGCTGCACGCTCCGCACGCCCACCACGTGCACCACGGTCCCCACCCGGCGCACCGGCACCGCCACCACCGCCGGACGCTGTCCCTCGACACCAGAGACTCGATGGACCTGGCCGAGCTGGTGCCCGCCGTGGGCGCCCACCCCCGGGCGACCTGGAGGGCGGTGGGGCCGGCCCCCGGGCACGAGGACTGCAATGGCAGGATGCCCAGCATCGCCAAGGATGTCTTCACCAAAATGGACGACCGCCGGGATCGCGGGGAGGACGAGGAGGAGATGGACTACGTGAGCGGGCGCGGGGTCTAGGGGCGGGGCCCGGGGCCAGAGTCCAGGGGTACAGGGGCGGGGCTAGAGTGGGAGGGGACTCAAGGAGGGCGGGCAGGGGGCGGGGCCGGAACTGCCCACCCCAGCGACCCGCCCCGCTGGTAGAGGAGACCTCTTAGCCTTCCCTGGGCGGGGCGAGGGTTCTGTTCTCCTGGGAGAGGCCGCAGGTCGGCCGGCGGCCCCAGTTTGGTGTTTGACCACCGGGGTGGGAGGAGATGCGCCGCTCTGCGCAGCGCCGACCCGTCTGCACTCCCATCTTGGCCTTGCCAGACCCTGTGCTTCCGCGTCCGCAAGATGATCGACGTCTATAAGCCTGACTGGTGCGAGGTCCGCGAGGACTGGTCTGTCTACCTCTTCTCCCCTGAGAACAGGTGGGCGAGGCCAGGCTCGGTGTGAGGTTAGAGTAGGGGGTTGGCGTGTCCGGGAGGGAGAGATACTTGCCAAGCCAGGCAAGGCTCCTGGTAGCGGGTCTTCCATAGTCCAGAGGACCTTTCTGGCCCAGTGGTGGAGGGTCTGCAGGGCTGGGGGAGGGTCTAGGTGTTCATGCAGGGGCAGGGGATGGGGGCTCCCTGGGCATCCCTAGTCCAGGCCATTCCTGTGCTGACACTAGGTTGGCCAAAAACTCATGTAGCCTGGGGTGCTCACATCTGGAGGGGGCATCAGCAGGCCTCCTGGAGGAGGAGGCCTTTGTGCTGGATTTTGGAGGCTATGGAGATAGTATTCCAGTAGGTGAAGCAGGGGTTGTGAGGAGGTGGAGGCTGGTCCAGGTGGAGGGAGCAGCCTGAGGGAAGGCCTAGGGGGCAGAAGCTGGGGGCATCAGGCAATGTGTGTCCAAATGGCTGGAGGTCCAGGCTCAGAGCTTTGAACCGGTGTTTGGAAGGCCTTGAGTGCCAGGGCAGGATGGATGGCCTTTATCCTGTGGTGCCATGTGCTCAGGGGAGGCAGCTCCGAGTGGGCACCTGAACAGACCTGAAGTCACCACCTGTTGTGTGGCCCGAGAAGAGAGATGTCTGCTCCTCATGGCCATCCTAGTCCCCATGTGTGTCTGGGCCCTCTGGGGCAAGGGGCACACTGACACTCATGTGGCACCCTGCCCACCCTGCCCAGGTTCCGAGTCCTGTGTCAGACCATCATTGCCCACAAGCTCTTCGACTATGTGGTCCTGGCCTTCATCTTTCTCAACTGCATCACCATCGCCCTGGAGAGGCCCCAGATCGAGGCCGGCAGCACCGTGAGTGGGCGAAGCCTTCGGGCAGGGCGAGGGACAAAGCGGAAGGGCAGGCCGCCAGGGCCTGCTATGGGACGCTGTGAGGGGCTGAGGGGGCTAGGAGAGCTCAGCCAGGCCCCACACCAGGCACCGTGGAGGGAGGTGTGGTGGGAGCTTGCCGCTGGAGACGGGACGCCTCCTGAGACCCAGGTAGCAGCAGGGTGCCCCTTGGCTGAAGGCAAGAGGCCGCCCAGGGGGCTGAGCAGTTTGGAGAGCCCCCGGGCCCACAATATCTCCCTTCTTTCAGGAACGTATCTTCCTCACCGTGTCGAACTACATCTTCACAGCCATCTTCGTGGGCGAGATGACGCTGAAGGTAGCCCCCAGCTTCACCGGGGACCCTCTCCCACCCCCAGCGTGGGGGCCCTTGGCTCTGGGAAAACCCCTTAGAAAGCTTGTCACTCACCTGTCCCTCGGCCACATTCCACAGAGGGTGTGGGAGGCCCACCCCCGCTAGGTGCCAGGCCCTAGGTTGGGCTCCAGGGACCCGGAGGGGGTCACTCTCCAGGAGCTCATATCCTGAGGGAAAGGCGAATGCAGGGGAACATTTACAGTGTCACCGAGGTACTTGCTGGAGGTGTGGGGTGCAGGGGAAGGATCCCTTTCCGGATGCTGCCCACAGCACTTGGCTTTGAATCGAATTGGGTTTGCCAGATGTGCGGCGAGTAGGCAATGGGGTGGCTCGCCGGGCCTGTGTTTCAGGGGGGCAGCGGGGTACCTGACCCCTGCCAGACCATCCGCCCAGCCCTCTGCCTGTCTGCGTCCTGACCCCTCACTGAGGCTGGCTCCACCGCCCCGCCCCCCAGTCGCGAAGTCGGGCTGACTCCGCCCATCGCCCCGCCCCCAGGTTGTCTCGCTGGGCCTGTACTTTGGCGAGCAGGCATACTTGCGTAGTAGCTGGAACGTGCTGGATGGCTTTCTGGTCTTCGTGTCAATCATTGACATAGTGGTGTCTGTGGCCTCAGCCGGGGGAGCCAAGATCCTAGGGGTCCTTCGAGTCCTGCGGCTCCTGCGCACCCTACGGCCCCTGCGGTGAGGATGTGCCCGTGGATGGGGGAATCCCTGCACGTTCCGGTGAAGCGCCCGGGGTCTGAGTGGACCTCTCACCCTAGCCCTCCTTACCCACTCATTCCTCTGATAGCACGTGCCAGATTAGCAGGGACAGGGACCAGGCCGTTGAAGCTGTTCTGGGGGTGGAGTCTGGAAACCCTAGCGGGAGAGGGGTGCTGAAGAGGCAGGGCTGAAGGTGGCCCCCAGGACTGCTACCCACTTTCTGTGTGTCCCTGGGTGGCTCGCTGCCATTTCTGGCCCTCAGTCTCCAGATGATGGTGTGGTGTGGACCCCAGGGGGACAGGGGTAGGGCATAGTGCCTTCCTGTGCATATAGATCTGGGGTCTGAGGTTCTCTACCCTGGTGACTCTGGGCACAGTGGGTGCTGTCTCCAGACATGGCTGTGGGCTCATGGTGCCTCTGCCCCTTTCTGCCTCCAGTGTCATCAGCCGAGCGCCTGGTCTGAAGCTGGTGGTGGAGACGCTCATCTCTTCCCTCAAGCCCATTGGCAACATCGTCCTCATCTGCTGTGCCTTCTTCATCATCTTTGGCATCCTGGGGGTGCAGGTGAGGGGTGCTCAGGCTGGGCAGGCGCTGGGGTGAAGTTCGTGGTTGGGGAAGGGGCTCCATATTCCTGCTCAACTCTCCCGACCTTGTGTTGACCAGCCTGGGGGCTCAGGTGGCCCTGGTAGAGCATCCCCGTCCCTGCCAGTGGTGAGCTCTCAGTCCAGGGAGGGAGGCAGACACAGACCTAAACATCTGAGTGCAAAGAAGCCTGGGTAAATGGGATCACAGGGGTCCAAGCTACACAGAAACATAGGGCTGCTGGGAGCAAGAGGAAAAGCATCCAGAAGGCAGTGGCCTTGGCATTGGGCCTTGGAGGAAAAGTGATCCCGCAGATCATGGTGGGTGGAAGGTATTTCGGGGGAGGGTGGGCATATGCGTGGAGGTGAGCTCAGGAGCTCTGGCTGGCATAGAGACATGAGCCAGATGGTGGGCTGGGCCAAGGTGGGAAAGACCTGGAACAGCGGCTGAGGAGCTGGGGCCAGTTTCTCTGGGGCAGAGACTTTGGAGAGTCTCGGGCACAGGCAGGGCCTTGAGCTAACTCGGATTTTGGCTTGGAGCTCAGGAGGAGGACGGGACCTTAGGGCTGGGCAGGGAGGAGGAGTGAGGCAGATTGTAAAAGTGTGTGACAGGGGAACGGCCAGAATGACCTGGGCCCTCTGGGGTCTGAGCTGCTGCTGAGACCTTCCTCTTCCTTGCGCCGAGGCCCCCAGGCTCCTCACCTGGTCCTGGGTTTGGGGCTGTGGCTGCAGAGGATTTCCGGGCACAGGTGTGCTTTGGGGTTGCTAAGAGATCTGTAACAGCCACCTGGGCAGGAGGGGTGTGGTGTGGACTCCATGTGGACAGTGACACCGCCCCTTCCAGGCAGAGTGCCTGGGTCCCTAGAGAGGGTCCCTTTACTTCTGTCTCTCACCCTTGGGGATACACAGACAACTTTCTCCTGTTGAGTGTCTGCTCGCATCCCCGGGACTGAAGTGAGGTCTGAGAAAGAGCCCAGAAGTCAGACAGACCAGGGTGGGAACCTTGGCTCTGCTACTTTCTAAACCTCCTAGGACTTTGGGGAAATTACCTAACACTGCTGGGCCTCAGTCTGCGCATCTGTGAGATGGGCTGAGAGTAGCCCTCCCTTGTGTAGGGGGACTCGGTGAGGTGGTGTGGTCGGGTGCCTGGCCCACGTCGTGCACAGAGGGAGTGACCCTGCGGGACAGGTTCCTCTTCTGATTTGCAGCCCCCTGACCCCCACTCCGGGAGCTTCGGCAGACCCATCACTAACCCTGTGGTCCTCCCCCCCCCCCCCCCCCGCCCCAGCTCTTCAAGGGCAAGTTCTACCACTGTCTGGGTGTGGACACCCGCAACATCACCAACCGCTCTGACTGCGTGGCTGCCAACTACCGCTGGGTCCACCACAAGTACAACTTTGACAACCTGGGCCAGGTGAGTGCCACCTGCGTAACCCCTGCCCTGACCTGCCCCTCCAGTGGGTGGGGGTGCCGGCTCTTCAGTGCCAGCGGCCCTGGAATCACAGATCGGGCTCTGGTCCTGCTCTGCCAGGACCGACCCTGTGCCTTCTCCTTTCCAGGCCTCAGTTTTCTCTTCTGAAAAATGGGTGGGGGGTGGAACTCACCTCACAGGTAGCATGAAGCTTAGAGATCCTGAGTGCAGAGTGTCCCGGAAGTCCCTGGCGCTTAGTAGGTGCCTCAGTGGACATTGGTTTCTGGCCCCCACCCCCGACCCAGGGGACCCGGACAAGAGTTTTAGAGACAGCCAGACCTGGATGTAAGTCTCAGCTCTGTGCCTCTTATTGTGGGTGTAGGCTCTCTGAGCCTCAGTTTCCTCATCTGTAAAATGGGAATGTGATGGCCTACCAGCCAGGCAGTGGTGACAAAGTGTAGCAAAGCCCCTGGCCCGGGGTCAGGGCGGCGGGGGGGGGTTCCTCTTCCGGCACCCATCTACTTTGCTCTCCACCTCAGTGGGCTGGCAGGCCCCCTGCCCAATTCCTGCCTTGCCCTTTGTCTCCTCTCTTGGGGGCCTGCCAGGCTTGACCCATTGAGTAGTGCCCAGCTGAGAACCTCCACCTGGCTGCCTCCAAAGAGCCTCATGCTTCCCCCCACAATTACTGTTTCTTGAGGGCCCACCCAGGTGGCTAGGGATGATCAGCAGACCTGGCGGGTCACACAAGGAGGAAGCAGGATCGAGGTCTTTGTGACCCAGGGGACCCTCTGGCTGGCCGGATGCCTTTGAAACTCTCCCCTCACGTGACGAGGGATCCCTCTCCACCTGCCCCCTGGGAGGGGCCGTGGGGCCACTGAGAAGCAGTGAGTGGGCCGGGAAAGAGGGTCAGGAACCGGGACACAGGAGCTCCCCCGATCCCCTCCAGATTTCCCAGAAGCAGTCAGTGCCTTTCAAGTTGTTAACAACTCAATGGTTGATAAAACAGAGGTTTTAAAATCCAGGAAGCCAAGGGAAGGCCCGTGAGGGCATTTTATGAGGTTGTCCGTGACTCCCTGACCTCAGCGCCAGGCCCCGGCCCGCTCCCATGGAGCATCCCTAGTCCTTTCCCACTCTGGGCATGCTCGATGCCAGGCTGAAGCCCCTGGACCTGGAAGTAAGGTGTTCTCAGCGTGCAGAGCCATTGGGGGGAGTCACAGCATGGCCCAGAGCCTTCGACTCCTTGCTGGCCCGTCACCGGCTGTGTGCCCTCAGGCAGGTTCCAGCGTCTGTGGGTCAGTGTCCTCATCTGGGGGAAGTGACAACCGGTCTGTGATTCTCAGTTCCAGGCTCTGCACTTCAGGCCTCTGTGATCCAAGAGCTCACGGGAACACTTGCCCCTTGGCCTGTGAGGGCTTCACGCGTCTCCCGGGCAAGGAGGGCTCCCTGTGTGTCCCTTGCTCTGACCTCTTCCCGGGCCTGAGCCCTTTCCAGGCAGCTCTCTGCCATTCCCACCTGGCAGGAAGAGGATGAGTTTGTGCCCGGGTGGATGGGAAGGGGCCAGTGCAGGGTGGGAGACCCACTCCCCAGCCCTGGGGCCTGGACTGCAACAAATGAACGAGTGTTCTGGAAGCACGGGGGATCTTCAGCGGCAGGGTGTGCGACCTCTGGTCAAGCCCTCTGGTCAAGACCTGGTGGTCTGGTATCAGCGCACTTGGGCTTTGCACGAATGGCACTGGTACCGTCCAGCTCAGGAAACCTTTACTGAGCACCTACTGTGTGTGAGGCACTGTGCTGTTGCTCTGGGACCGGCCCGCAGTCCTGTGGAGGGGACACGAGCCTGCTTTGGCCTACAGTCCGTGCAGGAGCCTTGGCTGGTGTCTCCTGGGCATTGCTTCCATTTAAAGTCTCACGTTAGTGGGGGTAATTACCGCCATTTATAGACAAGGAAGCCGGGGCCCAGAGAAGTTGAAGAACTTGCCCCAAGTCACCCAGCCAGTGAGTGGCAGAGCTTGGGCTGTGCCCCGGCCTCCCGTTTCCAGGTGCTGGAGGCAAGCTTGGGGTGATGGCGGCAGGGGGCCCTCGTGTTTGCGAGGAACCTTGCGGTGTAAAATCCCAGCTGCCCCTCCCAGCAGACCTGGCAGGCAGGCACTTAAGTATTAGTGGCGTTCTGTGGGTGGGGAAAAGGGCACATGAGTTTTCTTGAATTAATTTCGGAACTGAACCCAGGACTCCTGGTCTAGCCCTCATTCACCCGCACCAGTGCCTGCCGGGTAGACGGCAGGCACATAGTAGATCCTCAGGAAGGGTTTGTTGGCATCCTCGGGGAAGGCCTCTTTGTCTCTGTGCCTCCTGGAGGATGGGGCAGGAGCCGCCTGAGCTGTCTGCACCTACCCCCCCATGCCCTCCCCTTTCCGTGTCTTCCAGGCCCTGATGTCCCTCTTTGTCCTGGCCTCCAAGGATGGCTGGGTGAACATCATGTACAACGGACTGGATGCTGTCGCTGTGGATCAGCAGGTGCGTGTGGGCTAGGGCCGGGGGCGGTGGGGGGAGAGGGATGCGGTGTCTTTGGGGCCCAGCTGTCTGAAACTGGAATCGGCAGAACCCACGGCCCCGCCGCGGCCCAGCCCACACCATCCTCGCCCGGGTCATCCACCGTCAGGCTGCTCTTGGGCAGCGGAAGTCATTGTTCCGTTTGCTTCAGCAAATCCCCCTGCCGTGCAAGGGTAGCGCTCCCAGCCGGCTTGTGCGCGGAGGGTCAGGGCCTTGTGCGGGTAGAACCAAGGGCAGGAGGAGGAAGAGGGGGGCTGTAGCAGCAGGCAGGGTCAGGCCTGAGGCGTGTTTGGGGAACTGAGCGTCGAGGGCAGGAGGTGGTGGAGGGTGTAAGTAGGGCAGCGAGGTCGGGAGGCCCCCCTGCGCGAGCCAGGGCAGGGGCCGGAGTTTCGCCCGAGGCCAGTGGGAGTCCGTGAGGGTGTCGGAGCCAGGGTCTGCTTGCGGGGGCTTCCCGAGCCTCTGCAAAGCGCCGCGCCCTGCGCCCTGCGCCGCCCCATCGCCTGCCTCAGCCCCGTCTGCTCCCCGCAGCCGGTGCCCAACCACAACCCCTGGATGCTGCTCTACTTCATCTCCTTCCTGCTCATCGTCAGCTTCTTCGTGCTCAACATGTTCGTGGGCGTCGTGGTGGAGAACTTCCACAAGTGCCGGCAGCACCAGGAGGCCGAGGAGGCGCGGCGGCGCGAGGAGAAGCGGCTGCGGCGCCTGGAGAAGAAGCGCCGGAGTGAGTGGGTGGCCGCACAGGGCGGGCCGGCCCGGGCCCAGGCCTCCTCCGCCTGCGCCCCTGGTCCCTCCGGTGCGGCGGCCGAGGCCTGGGTCTCACCCTGGGAGCAGGAAGGGAACAGAGGGTAGACTCTGTGCCCCTGGCCCTGCCCCTTCTTTCCGCATCCGCCTGTTTGGGTGACCCCGCCCCCTGTCGGTGTCCACCCGGAGTCCACCGGCGACTCCCCAGTGGCTCAGCCCAGCAGAGGGCAAAGGCCCGGACGCCTAGCCCTGAGCTGTGGGGCCCCTGCAGCAGCAGACCCGGAGCCCTTGTGTGCCCCGTGGGCATGTTTGGGGTAGATAGGGACGGTCACTGTCCCGCCCTCCTCGCTGCCTTCCCCTACCTCCTACCCCTTTGCCTTGTGGCCCCCTGGCTGGGCGGAGGAGACCTGAGTCTGACTCTCAAGTCCCAGGGTGTTCTCACGTCTCTCCCCTTGCTTCCTCCCTCCTCTTTGCTGTTCCCTCTTGTGCTCTGTTTCCCTACCTGGGCCCCAACCCTCTGTGGTCTGTGCCACTCCCCCCCCCCCCCATCCCCCCGCAGAGGCCCAGCGTCTGCCCTACTATGCCACCTATTGTCCCACCCGGCTGCTCATCCACTCCATGTGTACCAGCCACTACCTGGACATCTTCATCACCTTCATCATCTGCCTCAATGTGGTCACCATGTCCCTGGAGCACTACAACCAGCCCACGGTGAGCCCCAGCCCCAGCCCCAGCCCCAGCCTGAGGTCACATGGGAGGGTTGGGTCCTCAGTAGGACCCAGAGCCACGGTGAGGCAGAAGGGTCTGAGCAGCACCCCCATTCGGGGCCCTGTGCCCAGGGCGCTCATGGCCTGGTGGGACAAATGAGAGAAAAGGAAATGTCACTTGTTCCTGGGGAGTGGGGAGGTGACATTTGGGCCCTGCCTTGAACATGGGTACCAGTGACAGTGGTGTATTCAGTGTGTCTGCAAAACACACTACAAACATGAACTTTAATGCTCACAGCGGCCCGAGATGGGGGAGGGGCCTTTCTCTCTTTCATCTCATTTTGTAGATGAAGAAACTGAGGCTCAGAAAAAAATGCTACCCAAATAACTCAGCCTGTAAGTAGTAGAGCCAGGATTAGAACTTAGGTTTGCATTCAGGGCCTACTCTGTGGCCTCCACTACTACATGGGCATATGGAGCCTGGGGGAGGGGCCTTCCAGGTGGCAGGACCATCGGAGGCAAACACTGGCATGGGAGAGGTTGCCCAGTTCCCAACTAGTTACCAGCAGTGTTTGTGAGGGCCACATGAGGAGCACGTAAGGGCAAGTGCATTTTAAAAGCCTCACCTTGGGGCGCCTGGGTGGCTCAGTCGGTTAAGCGGCCGACTTCGGCTCAGGTCATGATCTCACGGTCCGTGGGTTCGAGCCCCGCGTCGGGCTCTGTGCTGACAGCTCAGAGCCTGGAGCCTGTTTCAGATTCTGTGTCTCCCTCTCTCTGACCCTCCCCCATTCATGCTCTGTCTCTCTCTGTCTCAAAAATAAATAAATGGTAAAAAAAAAAAAAAAAAAAAAAAGCCTCACCTTACCGGAGCTGGAGGAATGAAGGGTGAAGCGGAACTTCCATGTGAGAAATTCATATCTTACTTTAAATGACAGGAAAGGTATATTGCAAGTGCAGGGAAAAGGAAGGCAGCCATTGGCAGAATGAAGAGCAATTGTAGAACTTCCAAATTAACATGAAGAAATAGAATAATAATACCAAGTATTTCTTATGGGCCCAGCACTGGACTATTACCTCATTTAATTTGCATGGGAACTTTTTGAGGTAGGTACTATTATCATCCCTCGTTTGCAGATTTGGAACCTAAATCCCAGAAAGATCAAGTGACTTGTCCAAGGTCACATAGTAAATAGGTAATATGTGCCAGGCCAGGATTCATATCTAAGCAATCTGGTTCTTAACCATGACCCTTAACCATTATCTCATACTGTCTCCAAAGAGGGGTAGTTGGACCAGACCAGCAGAAATCAGAAAGAAGAAACAGCGATGTAAAATAAATAGTCCACATTAATTAAAGTGGAGGGAATAAAAGGAGATATATAAACCATTTCACTAAATGTGAGTGGACTAAATTCTCTCCTTAAAAGGCAGAGACTTTATTTTTAAGTTAATTGATTTATTTTGAGAAGGAAGCACGAGTGGGGGAGGGGCAGAGAGAGAGAGAGAGCCAGAATCCCAAACTGGTTCCATCCGAGCTGTCGGTACATGGAGCCTGACTTGGGGCTCGATCTCACAAACTGTGAGATTATGACCTGAGCTGAAATCAAGAGTCCGATGTTTAACCACCTGAGCCACCCAGGTGCCCCAAGGCAGAGAGGCTTTCTGAGTGGAAGAAGGTAGTGACAGATCATGGGGTTTGGATCATGCTTCTCTTTGCCCCCTCCCCCTGCCCCCCATAGTCCCTGGAGACAGCCCTCAAGTATTGCAACTACATGTTCACCACTGTGTTTGTGCTGGAGGCTGTGCTGAAGCTGGTGGCGTTTGGGCTGAGGCGCTTCTTCAAGGACCGGTGAGTGGCTTGGCTGGGCCGGGGTGGCAGCACTGAGTAGGCTGCAGGATGGGGGAGCAGTCCTGACCCCTGGGGAAGCCTGGAGCAGCCAGAGGAGGGGAACCAATCAGTGTCTGGGCACTGATGGCCGGCGGCCCCCGGGTGCTGCCTACAGCCCTGAACAGGAAGCGATTATGGTTCTTCCTTATGGTTGCAGGACGTTCTCCCAAGTCTCTTCGGCTCATCTCTCATGGGTTCTCCGCAACCTACAGGCAGAGCAGGGCATACCTCACACTAGTCCTTCTTTTCAGAGGGAACAAATGAGGTTCATAGAAGTTGATGGGTTAGCCCAAGGCCGCACGGAGGAGGCATCTGGCTCAAGATTGAGATCTAGAAGTCACAGCTCATTCCTCCTCCCCAGCAGGAGGCCAGAGCTGTTTATTTAGCCTGGTCAGCCTCTGGCTTGAGGGATTGGAGGTTGTGGGGGGCAGAGAGGGAGCCAGACCCAGTGGGGTCTGGTGGGGCTAGTAGGGAGGGTGGCCACACATCCCCGTGGGCCACAGCAGGAGGGTGGAGAGCTGGGAAGTTCCTCCTCCCAACCCAGGCATTTCTAAACCAGAGTGCCCCTCACCCTGCCTCCCACTCCTGCCTTCCTCTGCCCGGCTGAGCAGGTGGAACCAGCTGGACCTGGCCATTGTGCTGCTGTCGGTCATGGGCATCACGCTGGAGGAGATTGAGATCAACGCGGCACTGCCCATCAACCCCACCATCATCCGCATCATGCGGGTTCTGCGCATCGCTCGGGGTGAGGGGCGAGGGGGATGGGGTGGGGATGGGTGGGGGCAGGCTGGGACTCCCAGGAGTTGGTTGGGGACAGGCAGGGGGTGGGGCGTGGGTGGGTAATGGGCTGCGGAGCAGGGAGAAGAACGGCAGCCAGGGGGAGCACACACCAGACACACACTTGCCCCCGTGTGTACACATGCATCCTTGTCCGCAGACCGCTCACTGCACCCGCACCTCCTCATAACACCGTGACCCGTGCAGACCAGTCTCAGGCTGGGATGAAAGGAACCCGGGGCAGCTGGGAAGATTCCGGGATGCGGTTCTAGTTCCTCGTGGGCATGTGTCCAGCACTGGCTGGGCCCCCCAGGCCTCTATGCTTCTTAAAACCCTGGCTTCCCCCGGCGGCCCCCGCACCTCACCCCAAGGCTGTCCCTCCACTTCTTTCAAGAACCTCCTGCCTCAGCCCTGGCCCAGGTGCCTCTTGCTTTTCCACCTGCCACAGCTTGTGGCCTCCAGGGTCCGAGGTGAGGAGGGGCGCAGAGAAATTCAGCACCTCACACCGGAGCCCTCTTTAGCCAGAGGGAAGGGAGAAATGTGGGCGCCCATTGGTTGCTTTTATCTCACCTTGGTGAATTTCGTGCTCGCTGACACACTTTGCTCCCACTGCGCGTGCCCTCCTTCTCCTGGGACGTTTTCACACCGACGTCCACGCCTTGTGCCCACGTGTCTTTGTGCACCCCTCGTTCAGCGGCACGCAGGTTCTTCCAGCGTGGCGTCACAGAGCCGTCCCCTTTGCTCACGTGCGCCTCCACTTTTCACTTTGCTGCCTCATTTACACACGTACACATGTGCACACGCACATCGCCACTGGCCGGGGCTGAGTGGGCCGGGCTGGGTCTCGCCCGCAGTGCTGAAGCTATTGAAGATGGCCACGGGGATGCGGGCCCTGCTGGACACCGTGGTGCAAGCTCTGCCCCAGGTAAGAGCCACTCCTCCTGGCAGCCCGCCTGGCTCTCACTGGTGTCACTCCGGCCTCCACTTCCTTCTCCTCCCACCCGCCCGGAGCCCTGGCAGAATCGTGTCTCCTGAGAGGCGGTGTGAGGCAGGGGCTGTGGGAGATGGAAGGGTCCCTTCTGCCCCTGTCTTCCTGACTTCAGGTGCTCGCCAAGGCCTGCTCTGTTCTTGGCGCTGAGCTGGGCTCTCAGGAGCCATATTTTGCCTTCGGGAGTGGGAAGGACAGACTACGGGGAAGGACAGATGCCGCAGGGCAATGTAGGGAGGCCTACAAAGTGGTGGGAGAGAGGGATGGGGGTCCTGATGCTCCCTGGGGGAAGTCAGGGAAGGCGTCAGGGGACTTTAAGCTTGACCTTATAGAGTGGCTTGGCAGAAGGAGGTGGTGATGTGAATGGGGGGGGGGGGGTCAGATAGGACATGTTTGGGGGGGACATCGTGAGACCTTGACCTGGGTGGAAACCCTAGGATGGAGGCAAGTCCCCCCACCCGCATCCCATTGCTCAGTGGAAGGGAGAGAGGATCAGGGCCACAGAGGGTGCAGTTTTCATTCTCCTGGGAATTCTGAAGTCCCAGTTGTCCCCTCCCCCCCCCCCCGCCCCTCCCCTCAGGGTGACCTGCTCTGAGGTGAGCCTCAGGCACATTCATTTATTCACTGTGACTCATCCATCTAGTCTTCAGGAATTTTAGGCGTTTTAAAGGGCACGAATACTGCGCGATAAAAATGAGGGTGAAAGATTAGCCACCCTGGGAAGGTGGAGGAAGAGCTGGCTGTCTCAGGGACCTGGGCTGTGGGTGCTAGCGAGTTCCATTCTCGTTTGGTGTGAGCATCCCAGCAGCCTGCTTACAAAGGGACAGCCGCACGGGTCGTCGCGTCGGGTCTGGCTGGAAAGCAAGCGGGGCGTGCACTCAAAGAGACGTGGTTTTTCTTGACAGGAAATGTCTTCAGAGGGGGTTGGCACATGGGAGGTGGGGGTGAGCTGGGCTTGGTGGGGGGTGTGCAGACAGGAGGTGGGTTGGAGCCCAGACTCAAGCCACCTTGCCTCTTATCAAGGCCTAGTCCTCTGTGAGACCAGGGGCACGCGACTTAACTTCTCACGTCTCGGTTTCTTTGCCTGTGAAGTGGGAATAATAACAGTGCTTATCTCGAGGGGTGTTGTGTGAAACAATCAATTAAAGCTCATCAAGCAGGGCTCAGGACTTGGGTTATAGGAGGCGCCCTGTAAGATTCCCTAGGGATGGGGGTGGGGAGCGTGAGGCCCCAGCCTCCCTGGCTTCCTTATGCCTTCCTCATGCCTTCCTCCTCCGCCTTTCCGATACCCTGACCCCTAGGCAATCCTGAGCTTGGACAGGGCACACGGAGATGCCCAGGAGGACCCAGCTTCAAGTAGGAAACATAATAGTCATTAGAATTACATCAGCACCTTAATCCCCCATAATCTGTTTGCTGACCTTTCCTCCTCCATTCTATATAAAGTGGTATGAAAATGACACTTCCCGCCAAGCCCCGCCCGATGCAGAGGGAGGCGGCAACAAGGCAGGCTTCTCAGAGGAGGTGACTTGTGACCTGGGCTTTGAGGGGTGGGGCAGAGGCATTTACCAGGCAAAGGCAAAGGCAGAGGGACGGTTCTCCCTGCAGAGGGAACAGACTGTGCAAATGGCACCTGATTTCTGTGTGGCTGGAGTCTGGGGTTGGAAGGTTAGGCCGGGAAGGGGCCCACAGGGCTAGGTCACAAACGGCTTCGATGCCAGGACAGCAAACTTGGACTTCACCCTGTGGGCAGTGGGCATCACGAGAGGTTCTGGACAAGGGAGGCCTCAGGCAGAGCTGCCTTTTAGAAGGTTGCTCTACTGACCGTGAGGCGAGTGGGTTGCAAGAGAGGCTGGGGGCAGGGAGGCCAGTGAGAAGGCTGCCGCAGCCGTGCAAGCACAGGGAGATGCTGGAGGTGGAGGGAGGGCTTGATGGGGAAGGTGACATCCGTCCTGGTTCAGAAGCGCGGCTCACCTGGGCCTGCGTAGGGAGGGAGGCTGACCCGAGGGCCAGGGCCGTGCCCAGTGCCTTGCTTTGTAGCTGCTTAAGAAGTGCTCATACCGTTAATGAATAGGGCATCTTTTAATTAGTCGGACACAATTGGCAGGATTGTAGAGCAGCTCAGAAGGAAATCCTCCTCTGGAGCAGAGGAACGATAGGAGTTTGTGGCTAACGTGGTTTACCCTGTAGCAGTCGACGCAAACCCCCTTCTGATTCTGTTGGTGCAGGCCTTCTGAGCGCTCTAGGAGGTATTCCATTTCCAGGGCAAGAGTATGTTCAAGCCTTGTCTTAACCATTGGCTGAGTTAAAGGCGGTCTCCGGTGTATGGATAGATTTGAAATAGGTTTGTCATCTGGGACGTTTTGTTCCCACAGGAGCTGTGGGATGGGGGTGGCTGGGTTTTGCAGGAAGCTTCTGGGGCTCACAATCCTGCACGACTCCTCTGTGCACTTCTCTCCACGGCCAGGCCCCGTGCTGGCCTGAGGCGGCAGATGCGACTTAATCCAGCCATGTCCCTGCTCTCAAGGACTTCTCAGACCAGCAGAGGACAGGGACAGGGGTCCCCCAGTTACACGCACACTGTCAGACTGGAGGGATCCAGGAGGGCTTCGGGGAGGAGGCAGCCCTGTTGCTGAGACTTCCCTGCCTCCCTCTCTGCCTTCAGGCAGGGGACGGTACCCACCACACACAGGTGTGTGGAGGGGCAGCTGTGAGCCTGCGGTCAGCCTGCTGGGTTTGGATCCCAGTCCTGCCACTTACTAGCTGTGTGACCTTGGGCAAGTCACTTCACCACTCAGTACGCCTCTGTCTTCAGAATGGAGTAAAACGTAGCTCGCGGATGGTCGTGTGGGGTGAACGAGCCGATGAACGCGAGGCGCTTGAACCAGCCGCCCACGGGAAAGGCTGCGCAAGCATTTTGTTACTATTCTGTGCCCCGTGTGGGACCCGGCCTCCCCCGGGGAGGTCACTGCGGGGTGGCAGACATGGGCACTGGAGCCTGACCCTCAGGCTGGCCCCGCCCCGCCTGCTCTCCCCACAGGTGGGCAACCTGGGCCTTCTCTTCATGCTGCTTTTCTTTATCTACGCCGCCCTCGGCGTGGAGCTCTTCGGGAAGCTGGGTGAGTGACTCCGGAAGCAGACCTGGGCTGGTGGGAGTGGGGGGTGGCGTGGGGCGGAACAGGCCTGGAGGAGGGCCTTGGCAGGGTGGGGAAGCCTGAGACACCCGCAGAGCGTCACATCAGGGTCTCGGTGGTGGGGAGATGCCCCATCCTGAGGTGACTGACCCTCAGCCATCTACACCCTCCCCCGGGGACGGGTAGTAGCTTTTGAGAGATGCTAGCCTGGACCCACCTGCATCCTCCAGGCCTCTGCAGCAGACCCCTGACTTGGAGAGCAGAGCGGGCAGGGCACAGGCCGAGGGCAACATAGTCCATGCCGACCCAGCCCTGCACAGGGCTGGTTTCAGAAAGCGATGCTCCCTTGCGGGCTGGCCCTCACCCCTGTATCCTCTCTCTGAGGACCTGATATATGAGTGGGGGGAGGGGGCGGGGAGCCAGGCTCACCGGAGTCTGAGTGCCAGCTTGTGTGAGCCCTCCCTGAGCCTCAGCTTCTCCATCTGCGGGCTGGGCACGGTCCACACGCGCTTCTGAGGATCGGGGATTCCGAGACGGGGCCGGGAGGCCCGGGTGCAGGGTGGGCCAGGCAGGGGACTCTGCAGTGAGACAGGGCTGACCTCCTCTCTTCTCTCAGTCTGCAATGATGAGAACCCATGCGAGGGCATGAGCCGGCATGCTACCTTCGAGAACTTCGGCATGGCCTTCCTCACACTCTTCCAGGTCTCGACCGGCGATAACTGGAATGGGATCATGAAGGTACCCGTGGGGAGAGAGAAACCAGTCTGGGTTCTGGGAGCAAGGCTCCTGACAGCGCTCGCTCCTGGGACCCCTGGCTGCCCAGCGCCCCACTGTACACGGGAGGGGAGTGCCGGGCACAGGGAGGCAGAGGAACCCGCCTGGGGCTCTAAAGCTCAGCGAGGTGGCGATGAGCCCAGGATGCGTTCTGTCAGCTCCTAACTGCCACTCCGGGATCGGTGCTCCGCGTCTAGGGGACACGACTCTGCCCGAGGCCAGGACTTGGGGCCCATAGCCTGGGGCTGGGGCTGCAGGCCTCGCTCCTCCTGGGTCCAGGCCCTGGAGCTGCTCCTCACCTGGCAGAGACTCTCTGGCTGTGGCCCCAGTCTGGCCTGGACTGGGCAGGGAGGGGCTCGTGGAGGGCGGGGATGGGGCCCCAGGTCCTCACCGGCCCCTCACCTGGCACAGGAGGGAGGGGATGGGGCCCCGGCTCCTCACCGGCCCTCACCGGCCCTCACCCGCCGCAGGACACGCTGCGGGACTGCACCCACGATGAGCGCAGCTGCCTGAGCAGCCTGCAGTTTGTGTCACCGCTGTACTTCGTCAGCTTCGTGCTCACGGCCCAGTTCGTGCTCATCAACGTGGTGGTGGCCGTGCTCATGAAGCACCTGGACGACAGCAACAAGGAGGCCCAGGAGGACGCCGAGATGGACGCCGAGCTGGAGCTCGAGATGGCCCACGGCCTGGGTCCCAGCCCGCGGCCGCCCACCAGCTCCCCGGGGGCGCCTGGCCGAGGCCCGGGCGGGCCGGGCGGCGGGGGTGACGCCGAGGGCCGCCTGTGCCGGCGCTGCTACTCGCCGGCCCAGGTGGGCAGGGGTGGAGAGGGCGCGAGGGTCACCGAGGGCGGCACTGCGGGGCTGGAGGGGCAGCTGGGCCTCCGAGGCCTCAGGCAGAGACCTCGGT